TGGCAAGGAGGTCTCTCTGGAGAGAAGTCCCTGTCTAGATCACCTGTCACGCTTCACGTGACTCTGGAGCGCTGTAGAATAAAGTCTGTCTGGTGGTTCTGTCTTCATCTGCAAAGGTTGTATTTGTGGAGTGGGATTGATTTTCTGTGCCTCAGAAAGTGTCATTCTGCTCACGGCTGTTTGCTGACTGATGCCTCCAGCGGAGCAGAGCAACAAGCAAGTTTATGAATTATGGCTTTTATGTTTTTTTACATTCTCTTAGCAAGACTATTTTTTATTTTAAGAATACCTTTTTGATTAAAGCCATTAGAGCTGGGAGCAAATAAAAATGTCTGAAATTTACACGTCTTGCATTTTATAGCAGGAATCCGAATGAAGCCTACATTTTCATTTTTGCACCAAGTTAAGCTCATTCTTCCCCAGCTCCCTGGTTCGGGGTTCTGAGAAGTCCTGTGGCAGGAGACTTACTGGGAGAGTAGTACCTTTATTTATCTTATTGTCATTTACATGGTAGAATATTTTCATTTGTTTATATACTGCCCTGACTGCAAAAGTTATCTTTGAAGTAACATGAAGAGTGTGTTGGGATAGGAGTTCAAGGTTGAAGGGCGAACCTATAAATACCCTTACTGACTTGTCTTTATGTTTACTAAACTAAAATAGATTGTCTGCGCACTATGTGATCGAGATGATGTTAAGTTACTTAAACTGGGAACAAAGGGGGTGAATTTCTCTTTACTCACAAGTTCCAGGGTCTCTCCCCCTCAGTTTAACCCTTTTGTGATTGACAGTTTGCGTTCTGCATGTGGTCAGTGTTTTTCTGATTTGTGGCATGAAGTCACGAGCTCTTTCTGTCATGGGATGTCCAGGTAACTTAGCAGTTGACCTGGGAGGTGCCTGGGTGGTCTTCAGGAACTTAGTTGGGATGGGGTCGGGGAGATATTTCTTCATACTCCACATCCTTTGGCTGTGTCCTTGATTGCATTTTCTGATGAAGCATTTTCCGTTCATCTTTCTCCCAGCAGTCTTTCTTCGCCACGCCCACAGCTGGGGCTGTGTTTTTTTTTTTTTTTCCTTCAGTCTCCTTTCTTTCTCCCAAATCTGCACTATAACAATCTCTGCTCAAGTTGAGCTTTTAGCTTCTCACTTCTCTTCAGTTTCCAGGTGCCCAGGTGTGTGCTGCTCTGCAGTCCTGTGCAGGTGGAGGGGACCCAGGGACAGACATTATTGTTCTAGCTGCACAGACACAACATCAACAGGGACAGCTGAGTGACATGGAGTGCTTCTTACTGCAGATAATGGCCTGCGTGTCACGGACGCCAGGAGAGCACATCGCTTGTACCGTGTGCCTTCAAACAATCCATGTACTGCTTCTCTCCTGTTGTCTCTTAGCCCAAATCTGTTCAATATTCTAAGATAGAGGCCTTTTTTGTATTTAGCCCTAATTATTTACCTAAGGCATGAAAGTCTTTTAACTCTTGTTGGGACTATTAGCATAGCAGAATTAAACTGTGTTTTCTGACCACTCCAGAGGCTTTTTCATAGTCTTTCCCCATGAAGTTTTGAATACCACTTTGACATCCTAACTTGTGAAGTAAAGAAACATTAACCAGAGATGAAATATGTCACTACAAGCTTTGTATATTCCTATGCTGAATGGTGGGCATTAACTGGTGAGTTGTCTTCAATTTAGAATATGTAGTCTTTTAGATGTAGCTGTACACAATATGCAGGTGTCTATGAAGTATTTCTCTGCTGTATCTTCTGTGCATATCACTTTTAAATTGTTACATAATGTAGCTGAATTTTAATTTTTCTTTTTTTTTTTTTTTAAAGAGGCATAGAGGGATTTATTAGGCAGAAATGTAGTTCATGAAGCCCAACTGCCTCTAGGCCTAGAGAGTCAAATAATTTGTTTCGTGCTGCCCCAGATCCAGTGGGGGAGGGAGGTACAGGAAGAACCAAAAATCCTTACTTCTTGCCCTTGCAGTGGCCTGGTGTCTCCTGGGGGCTCCAGGAATGTGTTCAGTGTGTGGCCCAGCCTATGTGATTTTGCAAGTCTGTGGAACCACCCAGGATGTACTTACTCTGAGAAGGTTTGAGTGATGGGATAATTAGAACTGAGCAGCAGCAGGGTGGATGGATTGTCGGTAGATAATAGCTTGTTTGCTAATTGCCAACACCAGATTTTCTGGGTAATTAGACAGTTGGTTTTTTCTAAGACCTTCTGTGCAAACGTGGACACATGGCCCTGGGCCTTCCAGGTAGCAGGTAGAGAGGAAGCAGCTCCTGGGGCTGGATGGCATCTCTGAAGCTGCCCAAGGGGTTGTGGTTTGGATGGAACGTCAGCCAACAAGTGGAAATAGCATCTGGCACACCCCTAGGTGGAGAGGCACAGTCACCCCTGTTTTTAGGGAAGGGGTGCCCTTGTCCTGGGAAATTAGCAAAGATGGTAGAGTTCAGCAGGCTAGTCAAGGAACCAAATTTATTTTTGCATTATGGTTTTAAGGGCACCAGGCTGGGCTAGAATTAAAGCTCATTGTATGTAAAGCCCTAGATTTGATCCCCTCATTCCCTGACCCCTCCCAAAAACAGAGCACTGGGTCATGGATTCAAATCAGAATAGAAAATAGTGTCCCTTCTCAGGTAAGCAAGTTGATTTGGGGAGGTGGAGGTAGGGGGAGGTTGAGACAGAGTCTCACTGTATAGTCCAGGGTATCTTGAATTTACTATAGATTGAACTCAGCCTCCTGCCACAGCCTCTCAAGTGCTGGGATTAGAGGTATGTGTCATTGTACCCAGCAAGCACCTGTCTCTCTCTGTCTCTCTCTCACTAAGGCTTGAACCCAGAGCCTTGCCTGAATCTTTTCAGTGAACATTTAAAATTACAATGAAGTGCAATTAACATAAAACTTGCCATTTTAACTATTGTAAGTGTGTAATTCAGTGGCGTGAATTACATTCACATTTTGCAACCATCACCACTATTTTTCCCAAAACTTTTCTTGATTCCAATCAGGACCTCTGTACTCCTTAAGCAATAACACCCCATTCTTCATTGTTTTCAGCCCCCGGACACTCCTAATCTATAGTCTGTCTCTGTGAGTTTGCCTATTTTGGGTATTGATATAAGTGGAATTATAGAATAGCATGTTTCCTCTCATGTCCTATTTTGCTTAGTTTAATTTCTGATTCATCCATGTTGCAACATATATAAAAATGCCCTTCTTTTTATATTTTATTCTTATTCATCAGCTCATCCGTTGGTGACCACTTGGGTTTGTTTATTGTACATAACACCAAAAGGAACTCACAGATAACAAACAATCTTTGACTCCCTGTCTCTGTTCTTTTATGTAGACACCTAGGGTAGGACTGCTGGGTTGCATGATAATTCTGTTTGATTTCTTATGGAAGTGCTGAAGAGTTTTCCACAGTGGCTGCACCATTTGGCGTTCTCACTAGCAAGTGCAGAAGGGTTCCAGTTTCTTAACATCTTTGCCAACACTTACTATTTTTCTTTTTAGAAAACTGTAGTCATCCTCAGTGAGTATGAAATAGTGTCTTAGTGTCAATTTGTAGCTCTCTCATGGTGTTGGACACCTTTTCATAAGATTTCTGACCATTTGTGTATCTTCTTTGAGAAATGTCTGCCCAGGCCCCTTGCCCAGAGAGTTGTGCTTTTGCCTTTGTAATCTCAGGGCCATGCACTTCTCTCACAGAATCTGGGGCTGAGCCTCTGTGGGAGGAGAGGGGCCATGCACCTGCGGAGAGCGGAGTGGCGTGCAGATCTGAAGCTTCACATTTATTTTTTCCTGATTTGTTTCATCCTTCAGCACATTTGGTAACCACTGTCATGATGTTGTTTGAGGCCCCCTCACACAAAATTTTCCGTTAACCTTGGATCAGCACAAAGGTATTTACCAGAAGAGGCAGATGGAGCCATTCCTTGGAGCCCCCAGAAGCAGACAGGCCTTTCCCAGACACTCTGAACCCTACTACCAGGTATTAGGCTGTGACAAAATAGAGTGGGATATGCAGAGCGTGGGATAGTCTGTAGTACTTGTAGGTGGGCGGTGCCAGACCTTTGTCTCCTCAGTGGAGTCACACAGTGGGGGTCACACAGCGGGGTCCTTGCTTGGGTGCTCTGGGACCCTGCTAGTCCTGGGTACTAGATAGGAAGGGAACCGTGGAGTTTTCCAAGACTGCCCAGGGAAGACAAGACACTTCTCCTTGGAGACCCTTCTCAAGGACAGAGCCACTGGGCTCTGAGAAGGCTCCAGAACAAACATCTGTGTGAATAGTTGTGGCAGCAGCAGGGCGCTGGAAGTGTAGAGTCTGTGCTGCTTTGCTGCTGGCTCTTGGGTTTGACCTCTTGTCTCCTGTGAGGCCCTTCTGCAGGCTTCCTAATCCAGCTGCCTTTTAGCTGTGGCTTTTCTTCAGTGACCCTGAGGAGATGAGTTCCTCATTGTCGGGTGGGGCCCTCATACCAGAGGGAGGGAGGCAGCGATGCATCTGCCAGGTGCAGACACTCTCTCTGGAAGTCACACTCATGCTCTGTATTCCTAGGACAGGGGCTGTTGACCTCGCTTTGGGAACATGTGAAGGGCTGTGGATTGTCTTTCAGAACAAGCCTGCAGAAACTGACTCCTCCTTTCAGGTGCTTTAGGTCCATTGGTTCATCAAGGAGCCTGGGTTAAGAATTAGCTCTGCAGAAGACATGCCAGGCAGGGCACTTTGGGGACCGACTTCTATCTCTTGCTTAGTGGGGGTTGAATGGCACAGGAAGGGCCTGGTAGCCTCTAAAAGGAACCAGGCATGGACATCTTATTTGATCATGTTTAAATACCAAACACAAGGCATGCTGGGGGCTACAGTCTGGCCCTGCTTGTCATGTTAGATGGCATTAGAGAAGCCACGTGCCTATACGGACAAAGCCATGCAGGCCCCCTTTCTGTTCCCTGGCCAGCCCATGTCACAGACTTTGTCTTTTCTTTCAGAAACAGCCCCCACATCTGCATATTCATCTCCAGCCCGGAGTCTTGGAGATACAGGAATAACACCTCTCTCTCCATCCCACATTGTGGTAAGACATTGTGCATGTGTGTGTGCGTGTGTGCATGCATACCTGTGCATGCATGTGTGTGTGTGGTGCTGTCTGGGTTTGTTCTATCAGAATGCTGTGCAGTACGTTCTCCCCTGGAGGGAGATTAAATTGCCCCATTACCAGCCATGCAGACCCTGTTATGCCCCTTCTGTTCCTGGGCTTAGAAAGACTTGCAGTGCTATGGCTGGTGTGTCTGGAGCTGTGGGTGTGGGGGTAACATGAGCCAGGAGGGTGGGAGCAGCTCGTTAAAGACTCAGAACCAAAAAAAAAAAAAGCAGAAAGAAAAAAGAAAAGAAAAGACTCCGGACCCAGACAGTGTAAAGCATCCTCTCAGACGAAGTGGCCATTTTTGGCAGGAGAACCAGTGAAGCACAAGGGCTCTGCTCACAGTGGTTACCTGCCATGTCCACAGCTTGTGCTGCGTAATTGCTTCTGCAGCTGCTTTCCTCAGAGAGGCCTGAGCTGGACTCGCCCCAGCCTGTGCTACAGGAACAGATGGATGGTGTGGGGCAGCTGTTCAAAGGGACATGTGTGTGACCAATGAGAATGAAGTACCAAAGGAAAGGGCAATTGGCACAGGCCACCAAGATGCTGAAGAGAACTTTGGAGCCACCACTGGGTAGAGGATGCCAACTTGCCCTGGTTTTCCTGGAATGTCTCAGTTTTACACCAAAATTCCTATATCTGGGAGGTTTGGTTACGTGTGCCAAGTCCTATGGTTTTTCAAACTTTGCACCTTGTAGGAGCTTTGGAGTGACATGGATAGGGTAGGCAGTGGGAGGAGAAGTCCATGAGTAGTGTTCTCATCTGCTGCTTCAACCAATCCAGCCAAATCTAAAGTGTGTTGGTTGTATAATATGGAATTCTGTGGGAGGTTAAAAAACGAAAGAAAGTCTATACTGCTTAAAAAAGAAACCTTGGGTAGCCTGGAGTGACCTGCCCTAGTGATTTGATGTATAGGGAAAGGCTGTGAGCCCTGAGGGCACACAGCTCAGCTGGATCAAGGTATGCAGGACCGGGCAGACCCTAGGTATGCCAAGCCCTTTCATGTGCTTGAAATGCTGGTGCAGATGGAGTGGTCAGTGGGAGGCCTGAAGGGCACAGCTGGCAAAGTACTCTGAGCAGTAGCTGGAGGTTGGCACAGGGACTAAGGGAAAGACTAAGAGGAGACTGTGTGCAGCTGCTGGGCTTCCACCCTGATGGCAGCATTTCTGTAATTAGCTACACGCAAGCATGCATGATTAATGAAGGGGCACAGGCAGGCTGCAGGCGGGACTCTCACCCAGTCACCTAGCTCCCCTCAGGGTGCCTGCATTTCCCTGAGCCACTCTGGTGGCACTGGCCTGGCTTGCCCTCACCCTAGAGCTGCTTTATGGAAACCTGGACACAAGTGTGGAGTTCCTTCCTCATGCAGCAAGGGTTCTGCAGAAGGGTTCTGTCCAATGTTGGGGTCTTCCTGAAGGCCAAGCCTGGCTCTGGCCTCCAGTGCCTCATTGTATATCTGCAGAATGATGCCGACTCCAATGTCTCAGACCAGCAGACATTTCTTGTGGTGGTGGCCATCGACTTTGGGACCACATCCAGCGGCTATGCCTACAGTTTCACCAAAGAGCCAGAATGCATCCATGTGATGAGGTGAGTGTCGTGATGGGAGGGACAAATGGCCTTCTGTCACTGCACAGTGGAGACTCCAGGGCATAGCTAGTTACTGCTGTGGCAAATGGCACCTAGGAGGAAGACCTCAGGTTTCTGGTCCAGCTCAACCCAGATCCTCTGTGCCAATTTAGCCAAGCCCTGGCCTCAGGGCTCGGTTCCCATTTGCCAGGGTGTTGGTTTAATTCTAAGCTAGTTGTCTGGGGAGGGATTGTATAATATGTGTGAAGCCTGGCTCCAGTAATTCCAGGGTATGACCTGCATGACAGGAGCCAACCTACTGTGACAAAAATAGTCCAAATGCTGGACCAGCCACTTGCCATCTGACCTAAGGCAGTTCTGAACCTCAGTCTCCTGAGTTAAACCTCAGTCTCCTCATTAGTAAAATGAGGATTCATGTAGACTAAGTGAATGCTCTGCACTTAAGTGAAGACAATGCTGATGACACTACCACAGGCAGAAAGTGCCAGGCTTGGGAGAAGCAGTGATATGTGAATCTCAGCCAAGTGACTCTAACAGAAAATTTCCCCCCGGAGCTTCTTGGGGTTACCAGGTGAGACAGTCCCCGCACTGTCAAGCATGCAGCAGGCCATCAGGTCCTGATACTATGCAACACCAGGATTCAGTGTTGGTGAGGACTTTGGTCTGTCCTGGGAACAGTGTCGCCTCTCCTAGTCTGGACCCATGACCTTCCTGCAGCATCTGTGCCCCTCTAAGCTTTGGAAACCTGGGATTTATCACCTTGCTTTCCCACCTAAGGCACAGCTTCAGATCCATTGTAACTGGCTTTGCATTTCCTTTACCTGAGCAACTGTGGGATTTTGTCATCACACTGGAGTAAGATTTTAGGTATTTTTATAAAGTATAACACAAGTCGTCCCTACAAATGACTCCCACTCGACCTTGCTTTAGGTCCCACTTTCTCTTGAAAACTGGAATGGTTTAGCCTGATGTAAGAGGCTCCAGAGGCCCCTGGGGGAGGTCTTATTAGAAAATAATGGAATGCTCGACCTGCTGGTGAGTCCTGATGACCACATATCTTTATATCCCGCAGTGCTTGATTGGCGCTAGATGTCTGCTTCTGCTGGACCAGGCAGTTGTTGGTAATGCCCTCTGTGGTACAGCTACTGAGTGGAAAAGTGCACAAATCCATGAGTTTTATGAGCTTCCAGGTAGTTCTAAGAAATGTTTTTTTGCACAGGATAGTCAAGCGATGAAAATAGAGAAAAAAGAATAAAAGTAACTTTGAACTTGCCTGAAGATCACTTAAAGCATTACCATGGTTCAGGGCCTCAAGAGACTTTATCTCAGTTATTGTAGAGATTCTGCAGGGAGGTTGGTTCTCCCGCAATTTTATTTCATTGGGAACATATTAACATAACTCTGACACAGATTTACAAAGGTTTGAATGAGGAAGTTTAATACTTTGCATTTAAATAGAAATGAAGGAATAGAAATTCGAAGGGGAAAAGCTCATGGGGTCATTATCTGCTGCAAATGTCACTGTTGATAGTAATGACAGGTCCCTTTGTGCAATGCAGTGTGCAGAGTGCTGTGTGGCATGAGAATCATCCCTGTGTCTGTCTCCATGCGGTCACCTCAGGGACTCTGGCTGCTGGAGCTGAGCCCAGCATCCTGATGGAGTTTGCCTGGGAGATTGGCCAGGGACGATTCCAGGGCCATGTGAGCAGCAAGTCTCACTGGAGGCTGCTGTCCATCTGGAAACCAGTGGCTCTACTAATGCTTACTGAGGCAGTGCGGAGAACAGGTTGAAGCTTAGACTGGGTGCAGTCACCTCCCCTGGGGGCCAGGGATGTGGCCCATTTCTCCTCCACAGCAAATCTCTACTGGAGGCTGTCCTCAGGGCTGTGTAACGGGGCCTGGGTGGGAAGGGGGCAGCCTGGGTGCTCAGCACCTCTGGCTTCTGGGCAGTTAACTCCCAAGTGCAAAGTGGCTCTAGCCTTCCCCACTCACTGTCTATCTGAAAGAAGGAAGGAAGCTTCAGCACACTGTCTGTGTGTCTTTCTGTACTCTCTTCTGTCTCCTCCTTGATATGCAACCATTCATTGTCATTTCTCTCCTTAATGTTCCCCTCCATTCTCCCATTCCATCTTGTCACTACTGCTGTCACCAAGCTGAAAACTTATGTCTTCAACCCCTAGAAATGCAGTACTGCATGCAGCAGCAGGGCTCCCCACCTTCCTCTTGGCTCCCTCCCAGGGCAGGGCTGTTCACTGTAGGTCCGTACCCGCTCCTCTAGGCTCCCAAGCTTGCAGACTCTAGGGCATCCGTGCTCCTGCTCACCACCATGTCCAAGTGCTTGCTCTCTTCCTGGATGCTCTGCATCCTTTCATCTCTACCTCTCCCTGCCCGTGGCTCACCTTGTTCTCCTGCCAGACCTGACCTGCTCCTCATCTCCTTCTGGCTCCTTCCTGTCACTCTTCCTTTGGTCCAGCTTGCTCTCATGAGTAGCAGCTCTGATTCTGCCACGCCCTTGCTCTGTGACCTTCGGTAGTACCCCATGATCCATGGTTTGACTCTCTAAGTTCTCAGGGTCCTCCCCAGCTTCATTCCAACCACTTTTGCAGTCTCTTTTCTCACAGTTGTCATTTACACACTCCTGGTCTAACCAGCATGATCACATGGCATCTACGCATGCCCAACGCCTGCTCACCTCTGAGCAGCCTGGGTGTCCCCGCCTCCTTTGAGATTCAGTCACCCTTCACTTCTAGTCTTTCTTGGGTCCTGAATTGTTCCCTGAGCTCCACTGGCTGGCTCTTTGCCTTCTCTAACCCATCGGGCCATTTCTCTGGGCCCCTGTGCTTGCAGATTAAACCCAACCCCAAAAAACCCATTACCTACCAGACTGTTGAGTTATTTGAAGGCAAGACGTAATGTTCCAACCCTGTGTCACCAGCATAAAGTAGTGGGTCAGTCATGCTGAGAGAAAGGATAAAGGGAGACCTTGTGATTGAGCGCCACTGTGGCACTTGCCTGTCCCTGTGCCTTGTTAACTTGTGTTTCTGGCCGTTACTCAGCCAGAATCCTGGATCCGGAATGTGTCTCAATGTCCTCGGATGTGCCAGTCATGCATGCAGGAGATGCTGCCTGAACTGGGATTTTTAAAGACTTTCCCATAACCTCTGGCTTCACTTGGTGGCAGGCGATGGGAAGGAGGTGACCCTGGTGTGTCCAACCAGAAGACCCCGACCACCATGTTGCTGACCCCTGAGAGGAAGTTCCATAGCTTTGGCTATGCCGCCAGGGACTTCTACCATGACCTGGATCCCAATGAGGCCAAGCAGTGGCTGTACCTGGAGAAGTTCAAGATGAAGCTGCACACCACAGGGGTGAGCAAGCCTCTTTCCCAGCCCAAGTTCTCTGCTTCAGAGAGCCCAGGACCCTCCAGCCTTGAAGGGGGTGGGTATGCATGTTTCCAAGCCCGAGAACTCTCTACTGTCTCCCAAGCAGAAATCAATGTCTGTTCACTTTGATTTTAAACACAGCACAGTGCTTTCTGAATTACATGTGTGCAGGGCGATATTCAAAATATCTAACAACTTGTCTGTCAGAGAGGGCCCTGGTTGCTGCATAGAGAGGGCTGGGTCCCCCCACTGTGCTGGGAGACCCCACCCCTCAGTTATCAGATTATTGGGAGACCTGTGGATCCTCTATTCGTAAGAAGCAACTCAGGGGGACAGTTGGGAGGACTTCGGACAGCAGCTATTAACTAACAAGTTTGCAAGAAACAACTGGTGACAGCTGGCAGGTCAGCCCTCTGTGTGGGAGGGAGCTGAGGACATCAAGTGCCCAGGGATTGGAAGCCCAAATACCAGCGGTGTTTGCTTGTAGCAGTTCCGTGTCTTGTAAGCTATTGAAGATAAACATCCCACCACCCTGCCCCCAAAGCTTGTAAGAAAGGAAAGTCTGGGGCACAGGAGGGAATTTTTCAAATTAAACATTTTATCCCATATCAGTGGTGGTGAACCTGTAGTGAACGTGCCACAGCAGGCCGTTTGCGTCATTGAAAGCTCTGGAAGGTTCCCATCACTGCCGCAGACGTTCCTTCATCCGCAGTACTTAAAGACGCAGGTGGGTAATACCAAGGCAGGTGTCCTGGGTTTAAATTTTGCACCCGGTACCTTCAAGACACTTATTCCAAGTTACTTACTACTGCTGTGCCTCATTTGACCTTGTCTGTAAGATGGAGACAGTGAGAACGCCTGCTCACAGAGATACTGTAAGGATTAGAGGAATCTAAATACGTAAATCTCTTCAAACTGTGCCTTGGACAGGATAATTCTAGTCAAGTGCTAGGTCCCATTAGCCCTGCTCTGCTTGTCTACTATTTGCAGATGAGGAAACAAGTGCGGATAGTAACCTCTGCAACCAGCCCCTGCCTTCCAAGCATCCACACTCATCCTGTGGGTCTCTCTGTGTCAGGATGTCAGGACCTGTTTCTCCTGATGGGATTTGATGCCGAGTATAAGCACTGAGGAGGTGGAGGCGGAGCTGAGGGGTTTTTTTTCCGGTTCAGAGCCAGGGCTTTCTGGTGCTTGGCTACCTTCCTGAGCATGGCAGCCAAAACTGAGTGTCTGCTGAGCGCCTTAAGAAGGGGGTGGCTGGCTGGGAGGAGTGAGCACTTGCAGGGGCTCAGGACACACCTGGCCAGGTGTGCCAAGCTGGTTCAGTACCTCGCTCCAAAGGCTCAGCGTAATTACCTACCCTGTGTCAGTCGGAGCCCCACTGACTGATTTTTTCCCCCTGATAGTAATGAGCTTGTTGGTTCAGGAGCTTCCTCTTAATTTCTGCTCTCACTTCCTGCCCATCCTCCACTGCACAGAGACCGTCATCATCATTTCTTAATGACCTCTGTCCACCCAGCATCTGGTATCTACAGAGCATCATCTGTCCAAGGGCCATGTACAGCAGCGGCTTTAGCTTCTGGCAGAGGAGGGGAGGCATCGATGCTGGGCTCCCAGTGGATTAGACAGGGAAAGCCTTAAAATAGGAGCTTTTCTATTTTGGTGACTTGATTGGCAGCTCACTGAGGAATGAAAGCTTCGAGTCTGTTGCTTCAGAGGGTGACCATGGGTATTCACATGCGGGATATAAATATGAATTACATTGGGTATGACACCTACTCTTTGTTTTCTCCCCTGGCCTCTGCTACTGCCTCAAACCTTTGTTCCCAGAGAACCCTGGTGCGGGGTGGGGGAGCAGCCAGAACCCCTTACATAATAAAGGAAGGTGCTGCCAGGCCCATTTTAGAGGATGCACCCTCCTGATCTGCCTTGTCCACCACAGGGAAACACAGATATGGGCATATGACTTCCTGGACCTCAAAGAAGCAGTTCTCACAGCCAAAAGCTGTCTCTCCTTCCCCTTATTATTATTTCATCCCTTCCTTTCCCTCACCAGGACCTCACCATGGATACAGACCTGACGGCAGCAAATGGGAAGAAAGTCAAAGCCCTTGAAATCTTTGCTTATGCCCTGCAGTACTTTAAGGAGCAGGCCCTGAAGGTAGGACTGATGGTTGCCACCAGCAGCCCTGTGTAGGTGGGGTGCACACGCCAGCTAGGAGGACGCGAGCCCAGAGAGAGAGCGCAAGCTTCAGAGTCAGGTGGCAGGGTGCAGCCTGAGACGCTGCTGGGAGAAGTGCACAGTGGCACAGCTGCTTTGGAAACCAGCTAGGCAGCTCCTCAAAGGGTTAATCACAGCAGTACCACCTGACCCAGCAGTTCCACTCCTAGATGTACATTTAAGGGAAATAAAAACAAGGTCACACAAACACTCGTGCACATGACTGTCAGAGCATCACTATTCGAAGTGACTAAAAAGTGGGGAAACACCTACCTACAAATGATGCTGTATCAGCTGATGAGTAGATAACCAAAATGTGGTGTAGCCACACAGTGGAATGTTCTTAAGCCCTAAAAAAGGAATGAGATGCTGATATATACTGCTATGCAGATGAACCTTGAAAATATCTTGTGAAATAAAAGAAGCCAGATACAGAAGGCCACATATTGTATGATTGCATCTGTAATGAAATGTCCAGAATAGGCAAAACTGTAGAGTCAGAAAAGGGATTAGTGGTTCCCAGGAGCTGGGGGAGCAGGAACGAGCAGCAACGGCTGAAGGGTGTGAGTGATGAGCTCAGACAGTGGGGTTGGTCACACCGTCCTGTGCACACTAAAACCCATTCAGTTAGGCACATTCATGGGAACGTTTTGACATGTATGATTTTATCACTTAAAAAAGAAAAATAGGATGTATGCTTCACAGCTGTGGAGTTTTGGATAAAGCCATTAATCTTAGTGATATTCACTTTCCTAACTGGAAGAGTGGAATGAGTAGCCCTACTTTGTGGATTGTTCGTTATTAAATGAAAAATTGGGTACAGAATGCTTCTCTCAGAGCCTGGTGTACAGGACATGGGAGCTGCTGTCTCTCTGCCTCCTCCTCCAAGCCCGCAGCAGACCATCGGGAAGAGGCACATCTGAGGGTCCCTGGGAGCACTTCTGTGTTTGAAAGCGTCCCCTAAAAGCCCACGTGTTGGAAACTTAATCCCCAGATTCACACATCAATGGCATTTGCAGGTGACCTTTGAGTTGTCATTAATACTAAAGGAGACATGAGCACAGGGCACCCCTGATAGCACTGGTGGCTTTATAGGGAGGAACCAAGACCTAGCCCAACATCAGCCTCCTCATGGGCTTTTACAGCCCCATGCAGACCTGCAAGCAAGCAAGACGTGATGACAACAGATGACTACACTGGCCCATGACAGAGGCATTTTGAAAAAAACATTTTAAAGCGGTTCATTAAATATACTTAACACTATAGAACTGTATAGTTTAAATAGTTAAGATGGTAAATTTTATGGCACATGTATTTTTATCAATTGTAGAATTTTTTTTAATGGATCAGAAATAAATTTTGCAGCTCAGAGAAGATGTTAGTTCATTGAGGAGGTAGATCAAACCCAGGATAGCTATTTGAAGCAAAGGGAATGTGAGACAGCATCAAGGAAAAGTAATTTTTAAAAAACCCAACTCATTAATTAAAATCAGTCCCCAGAACTGCCTTTAGTACAGAAATGCTTGAATGTGTTTAGTTGGATTTCAGATTTGACTCGTGAGTGTGGCATCAGGAGGGGAAGGGAAGGAAGGATTTGATACTGAAGAGAAGCTGCCATCAGGCAGACATTCCATGTGGTTTTCATTTAATTTTGCTACTAATGCTGTGAGTTAGTTCTACTATCCCTATTTTGCAGATGAGACTACTGAGTCTGAGAACTATCTAGCATTACCTTTTGTCTCATGGGCCAGGGAGAACCTTGGATGCTTTTGCTGGCCCCATATATCCTCTGGGCCCCACTGATGTGGTTGGCATGACTTTAACCAAAGCTAAGGCTGATGTAGTTCTTAGTTAGGTCATGTCCTTCGTAGCCTTCCTGTCTTGCCAGGAGCCCCATCACCCCATATATGGAGGGTAGATGACAGTGTTGACAACCATGACAATGGCTGCTACTTGTTAACTGTTACCGTGGCTGAGCGTTGCTTTGGATGGGAGACTACATATGAGAGTTTAATCAAGACCTTGGGTTTTGGAGTCAAGACGGACCTATGTCTGGGCTCCTCCACTTGCAAGCTGTACAGAGATCTGAAAGGGACTGCCCGTGTGTCTCCGTGTTCCCACCTGCAGGAAAGAATCCTTCCTTCTCAGGGGCTTGAATGGGTCAGCAGGGCACACCAAGTACTCAAAGGGCTGGATCCATAACAGGCTCTCAATCTTCCACATAGCCTGTGAGCCAGGGATGGCTCCCGATTGTGTAGACACAGAAACTTCGGTCTCAGAGGCTGTCAGTTGTCCGAGTCCCGTGCCTAGGAGGGATTTACATCTGCCTCACGGTCTCTCTCCTGAGTCACTCAGTGAGTGTACACAGACAGACCTCCTGGCTTGCTGCATATTCAGGAATTACCTAGGAAGTGCAGGAAACACTGTTCCAGAGTGAAGCCCCAGAAAATTGCCCTGGGGACCAGCAGTGCTGCTTGACCTGCTGCCTTTATTTTCTGGTCTCCAGGAGCTGAGTGACCAGGCGGGGTCTGAGTTCGAGAATGCTGATGTCAGATGGGTCATCACAGTGCCTGCCATCTGGAAGCAGCCGGCCAAGCAGTTCATGAGACAAGCTGCCTACCAGGTGAGGGCAGGGTTGGGAAGGGGGCCGGGGAGAAGGAACAGGGTGCCCGGGGTGGTGGCCCCCTCAGGGATTGTCCAGCATTCACAGCTCCTCAGGCAGCAGTGGGGAGGCTCCCGCGGGAAGGGGCTGGGGCATGGGGACAGGGAGCCTTCCTGCTCCTCAGCTTCCTCCTGGGAGAGAAGGAGAGATCAGTCCAACAGTGACAGGACTTGGGACCCAGTTTCTTTCCGTCTTCATACTTTTTTAGGCTGTGTTTCCACTGTAGATTCCCTGGGGCTAGGATTTCCCAGACATTTCTCTATGAGTGAATAGATGAGAAAACCATAAAGAAACTGCCTGGGAAACAATATAGGAAGAAAGGAATACAGAGAACTCAGCATGGTAGTGCATGTCTCTAATCCCAGCACTCTGGAAGGCTGAGGCAGGAGGATCACAAGCTTGAGCCCAGCCTGGGAAATTAAATGACTTAATGAGACCCATCTGACAGTAAAAAAGACAGAAAAGGGCTACGGCTGCGGCTCAGTGTGAATACAGTACTGCTAACTAAATAAGAAAATAGACAAATAAAAGGCCATGAACCAGGGATTTTAGTTTGGCTGGACGCTGAAAACTGTCTATCTACATCTGGGAAATAAAGGAGAGGTCATTGTCCTCTGTGTGCCTATCACAGGAGCATGTGGGGCACCCAGAGAGGGGGAGGGGCTGTCACCTGCGTGCTGGTGGCCTGGTGTGCCATCTGTACAGTGCTTGTTGGCCCTCAGAGACAGGACCTCAGTGCCACTGGTCAGCACTGTGTTTCATAAACCCTCGTGGCTCCGACTTGTACCTCTGCAGACACCCTGGGCTCTCCTGGTCTCCCATGAGGGTCTGAGCTTGCGACAGGACACTGGCCGTGCTGACCTGCTGTTCTGATCACCTAGGCGAGCTGGCCTCTGTTGGACCCGAGCCCCTTGGTTTAAGAGAACCTACTCCTCTTTGTACCTTGACAATCAGTTTTCTGAGTCTGCTACTCAGATGGGTGAGGCACAATAGATGTCCCCTGTGGCATCACATCTCTCAGAAGACATCTGCCCACCCTTCCTGCAGCCTCTGATTTGAGCTGGTGATATGTGTGTGATCCTTTCTTCACAAAACACTCACAGGATGGACCCAGAGCCCACGGTGCTGTCGAATGGCCCCGAGAGCCCTGGCGCCCTGCATTGGTCGAGCACGCAGGGCTTTGCTCCAGGCAGTGTGCTGAGTTCAGTTTGCACAGAGTCAGGCTGGGAGAGCCCCTTCCTGCTTCACCATTTCCTGGGCTGTTTCCTCTGCTCTCTTCTTCCTCTGTGCAGCCTGAGAATCTGGCTTTGTGTGTGGATCTGCCAAAAATAGATTTGTTTTTCCAGGGATGAAGGAAGAGGGTGGAAGTCCCAGAAAGAGGCAGTTTCTTTTAAAAAGGAAAGAAAAATAAATGCATTCTGGCTGTTCACTGAAGCTCAGGACATTGCTGTGTTTTTTCTGTACTGTTAATCTTCGGACGGTGTCCAAAGATGGAACACAGGGATGTGACCATCTGCAGAGACAGCCCTGGCTGCTCTGAGCTCTTCCGAGGAAGGTTATTCAAGATTTGTGGCATTGACATGCTTTTCCCAGCATACAGGAAGACTCCAACAACAAATATGTGACTTGTGAAAGGGTCAAACCTTATTTCTCACCTGAAAAAGAAAGTAGGGGTGCCCCTCTGAAGAGTCCCACACTGGACAGTCTGAAAAGGAAGTCACGGGCAAAACACAGTGGCCTTAGCTTTAGTGGAATAAAAAAAAAAAAAAAAAAAAAAAAAGGCCCTTCGGACAGGAAAGAGCCTGCAGCTCTTTGCTTTCTGAAGCCTAGGGATGTGCTGTAGAAAGGTACCGTCCTCTTGAGGCTGGGTAGCTTTGTCTGCTACAGTGTTTTTTGCAGCTTAGGTTTTGACCTTTTGTAATTCTGTTTTGATACTTGGGTTCAGTTTCCTGTCACAGTAGATTTAAAGGTTGCATTGATAATTCTTTGTTCATTTATTAGATTATTCATTAGGTACTGGCACTGGGAACTCTGTATTGAGCTTTTATGGGTACTGGACCATCCAGCTGACCAAGACAGAATCTTTACCCTCAGGTTGCCTAGGGCTGAACAGTTCATAGTTTTGGGGTTACTGAGGGGTGCATTGTGGAAATGGTTACTTTATGATTTCTCTGCAGTCTCTTGAGCTTGTTCCCTGGAAGTGTCCCAGGGCAGAAAGGGAGTGAAGTTTTCCACATCTCTCCATTCCTTGTCACTCTGCCTTTGTGACACAGAATGAGAAAGAGGTGAACCTATAGTGATTAATTATGGGCCAGCTTGACTGAGCTGGGGAGTGCCCACGTGTTTGTTAAATGAAAGCTGTTCTGGGGGTTTCTGTGGCTGTGTTACATGGATAGACCCAGGAAAGCAGATGGCCCTTGCTCAAGTGGTCTGGCCTCCTCTAATCCACTGAAAGCCCAAACAGGGCAAAGGACTGGCCCTCCCTGAGAAAGGAGACGCCTCCTGCCTGCCTGCCTTTGAGCTGCAATCCTGGTTTTTCCCTGCCTTCAATTCAGACTGCAACATCTGCTCTTCCTGGGTCTGGATGTTCCTTGGCCTTTGGACAAGTGGCTTACAACTTTTTCACCTCCTAGGTCTGCAGCTTGCCAACTACAGAGACAGGACTTGTTAGCCTCTGTAATTGTGAGCCAAATCCTTAAACTCATTCTATCTCTCTCTTATGTATCATAGTTCTCTGCTCGCCCTGCTTTTGAGCATGCTCATCAGGCATCCATCTCTGTGAAAGAGCTAATCAGGTGGAGATTTGTTTCCTTCCACACAGTGGAATTTGCTCAGGTTCCCTGACCCTCTGCAGAGTGCATCTCATTGGCTTGATTTCAGGCAGAGGACCTGGAGGATTGAGGGAGGACAGAAGTGCCACAGAGATGGTTAGGAAACCATAAGTGTTCTTGCACTGAGAGCATGGACCCTCTCCTTCTAGGCACGAGTTCAGGGCACAGGCAAGTGAGCTAGGTTCATCCTCCACCTGCCAGGTAGAAGGAGAGAGGCACGGTGTGGAGGTACCGTTCTGTTTCACGCAGCACTGTCCAGTCTGGAGTCCTGGACGTCTGCTTGAGTCACTGCCAATGAGGCCTGCAGAGGCCTATATGCAGTTATACATGATCCAACGAATTTCCCAAGCTTACTGGTCTTAGTGTGTTGTAAAAAAAAAATGGGTTAACTATCTTTTACAATTCACAAACTTAGGACACTTATAGGCCTTTAAGAGCATTCAAGATGGTAATAGAACAGCTGATCCCTCTTTTGAGGCCTTCAGGAAAGACCTGGAACTGGAAGACAGATCCACTGAATCTGGAGGAGCTGTGCATAGGAAACAGTCCAGTTTTTCCTAAAGGCATTTTGCCTAAAATATGTAACTCCAGTGGGTTCCAGAAACCTGTTAAATAAATGATGCTCCCATATGTACGATGATCTCATCTAACATGGAGGCGCAGCTTTCATCTGCCTCCTGGCCTGAATAAGCTGCAGTGAAAAATAATCCAATCAGGACAAGTGCAAGAGCATCACACCCAGGCCTGGTGCAGCTGGAACTGCTTTCAGCCGGATGATGGCTAGCAGCACGCTTAACTGGCCGGGCCGTTTTTTGTCAGCTGTGGACACAGTCCCTTGGCAGCTTTTCCTGGCAGATTGCGTGGTTGAGGAGGAGGGCTGGGAGCTGAGTCATCAAGGTAAACACTCGGTTCTGCGGCTCCCTGGAGGATAGTTTTGTCGCCTGCTCCTTCTGCATGGAGCTCAGGATCACAAAGGAAGGCTTTAAAAAGCCACGATGAGGTTACTCCTGCTGCCCCAGATTCCTGGAGGAGGCAGACGGAACAGGATGCTTCTTCGTACGCTTGCTTTCTGTTTGTACAATCTCCAGGCGTCTGTGGAATGCTTATGTTGAGGGCAGCAGAGACAGGGCTGGGAAAGTACCAAAGAAAAGCTGTCTGGAGGGCTGGTGGGTTCACTGGCTTAGCAGCTGCCTCCTGAGTATCTCCTATGTATTGTAGGCCAAGAGGATCTGAGTGTTGCCCTTAGAGAATGCACCATTTATAAGAGGCTAGATATGCCTACGCTATGTATATAGTTGGAGACAGAATGCGTAAAGTGCTTGGCAGGGGCCGCTGAGGGGGAGACAGCTTATACTGGAATAGTAACAGTGTGATACCAGCTCCAAAGGTAGAATTAGCAAAGGTAGTTAAGAATGTCTTGCTCCAAGTGGCCCTGGCCTGATTGCAGGCAAATAGTCCCATAGGTCTTCTGAGGCTGGAGGGCTGCTTTTGTAAGTGGTGTGAGTGTTTATGCAGAAACAAAGCTCACACTTCCCAGCACAGTGTCTCCTGCCAGAGATAAGACATCTGGGATTTGGGGAGTCTAGAAGATTCTTTCACATTTCCTCTTGTTCTTGGAGTCCTGCAGCTTGGAGCTCTGAGCTCAGCTCAGAGACATAGAATTTGTATAGATCCAGCTGCTTCCTGTCCCCCTACTGCCCTGCACCCCACACTCCCTGCTATAACTCCACAGGCTGTCGGGAACACAGCACCTCGGTGTCACTGGAAACTGTGACACCCCAGGAAATGGGTGTGATTGCTTTGTCCTGGCTCTCCCAGACACTGCCCTCTCTCTGATCATCTTGCGTCCTCCCCATGGGAGGGGGCACTCTTTACCTTTACCCCACCCAGGCTGCATCTGTTTCTGGGTGTTGTAGGGAACCCTCTGTGGAAATGGGTCAAAACTATCACTGTGGAACCAAGAACAGCCCAGCTGAGGAGGGGCAGGTGAAAGGTTTCCCCTGCAGTGTACAGCCTGTGTTTTACGGGGCAGATGTGGGTCATCCTGGCTAGTTTTTTTTCCATGTCAAGATGTGGGAGCCTTCCAGCGAGAAGAGCTGTCGTGCAGGAATGTTACGCGCATGCCAGCACGTTCAGGTGGCCTCCAATTGTGTCATTTCACTAAGCCTCTTTGCATTCTGGACTTCTTGGTTTGATTGTTCCATATAATTATTCCCCATCCAAGTCAGAGCTCTTCCACAGAATCTCAGGAGCAGGGCAGGTAATGGGATGAAGCACAAGTGTCCCCTTCTTTCTCCCTTCCTGTCCTCTCTGCTGTGAGCCAGACTCGAGTGGCTCTTGTGGGCATGGCAGGGCCTCTTAGTTGATGTCCTAGCAGGATATGACAAGAGTCAGGGGACTTTTGAGTCGTCAGGGCCTTTGCTTGTCCTCGTTCCCTCTGAGTCCTTGGGGTCTGCCCCGGGGATGTGTGTCCCCTTGCTCTGGGTACTTTCTAGTCTGAACTTTGAAAGAGACTCTTGTACTTCTCCTTTGAAGATAGTTTTTCCTCGTTCCTCACCCTGTGAAGTTCTTGATGCTGCAACCCAGGAAGGTCTTCATGGTCTGTGTTTGAATTTTTTCTGCTGGGATTCTTGGGCTCACATTCAGAGGCTTCACCATTCCTAGGGGCACTTTGCATATCCATGTCCTGTTGCTGGGCACCTCAACTTTCAGCTGTCTTTGTGCCAAGGATGTCTGATGTGACGCTGGACAAAAGTGAAGCTCAGTGAGGGGAACTTTTCATTGCTTGACTAGGGACCAGTGGAAAAGCTTTCTATGCCTGAGTCAGTGGCCTGCTGACCAGTGTTACTGAGGGAAGACCTCATCTGTTTGATCCATGCACCAGGCCGATGGATGCTGGCACTGCCCTTGTGACCAGCTAGAGCCACGAGCACTGTGCAGTGAGCAAAGGGCTCCTTGAGTGTGCAGGACTTGGATGTGGCCTCATGTGGCTTTGTAAATTTAAAACTTCTGAATCTTGTGAGGCTTTAGTATTTTCAAAGTGGAGCTTTACAGTCACTTGGTGGTATCTCCTTAAGACATAACTAATGGTGGCTATTTTGGGTGTGGCTGTTGTAGGGAACTTCTGACTGCCCAGTCAGAGAGGATAGCATCTGATACCATCCTGGAGCCAGTGATTGAAAGGATGCTATGTTTAAACAATCAAGGAGGAAGTGTTAGATGCACTGGAAGTTTTCTCAAAGTACCGGGCCCAGGTTTCTCCACAGGAGAGCCAGGAGTGACTTAAAGAGCTTGGGCTACAGGGCTCAGGACCTAACCAGTACTGGCCCAGCCACTTACCTAATGGACACTTGGAGCAGGACTGTGTTTCACCTAGCATTGAAAATCTTGCATCCCAGGAAGTCCCTTGGTCCTTAGCAGAGCAGGAAAGTTGGTCATCTCCTTCTACACTACGTCTCCTACATCTTTCTACACTAAGAGAAGGAATTGAGTGAAAGATCCAAAAGGCCTGTCACATTTCCAATGTTCCCGCCTGATGCCACCTCGTGTCCCCACCCACAGTAGACCTTCTTATGCCCCTGTGCCCATGGCTCATAGCCAGTTCCTGCTGATGAGGGAGTTATTTGTGCATGTGTCGTGTTTGGAGTCCTTCAGTCCTGGTCTACGAGAAAAGCCCACCAAACCTCAGGTCTGGTGTCCTCCTTCAGAGTGGCTGTGGCACCAGGGGAGCATCTCCAGTTTCCCTAAGAAACAGGCACAAGAGGATACAGTGGTGACGGGAACCACTTAGAGTCCATCGTGATGGTAGCAAGGAAAACCCCTTGCACCTGAATAGCCTGCACAGCAAGACCTGCTCCAGCCCAGGGCTTGGGAGGCGGGCAGGGACCCAGTTACAGGTTGAGGCATATTTCTCCAAGAAGGGTGGTGTTGGGGTCTCCTAGCTGGCCCTGCTGAGGGGCTGGAGAAGCTATGGGTGGGACAAGGCCCATGTCACAGAGCAGAAGCGTTTTTGCCTCCAGTGTGCTGAGGACTCTAGTGTTTGTTGTGCTCTGCAGAGGGCTGTGGAAGGAATGTTCCCCCAAAAGCTTGAGTATCCCTTCCTTGGAAGTTGTCAGCGCCAGACATGGGTGTCTCTGAGCGGACTCACCCAGGGAGCAACAAGTCCCAGCCTCTGCTCTTTCTTTCAGGCGGGCCTGGCCTCCCCAGAAAACTCAGAGCAGCTCATCATTGCCTTGGAGCCTGAGGCGGCCTCCATCTACTGCCGGAAGCTGAGGCTGCACCAGATGATTGAGCTGAGCAGCAAGGCGGTGGTCAATGGGTACAGCGCCAGTGACACAGTAGGAGCGGGGTTTGCACAGGGTACCTCTGCTCTCTCTCTCCCTCCCTCCGCTCTTCCCCTCCCCAGCCCCGGATGTTTCTACTTCTGGTGATGTTATAAGACTTAGTACTATAAGCAAGAGCCAAGCTGCTCCAGGAAGAGGTTGGCTGGGAGTCCCTCTATGCTCAGCCCCCTAGCCAGATCCTGGGGCCCTCCACGGACTGAACAGTGGTTACCCTGGCTTATCACCCACCACGAACCTGTGGGTGGCCCAAGAGAGCAGCTCTTGGCCTTTCCCTTGCTGGGCTCTTAATCTTTTTTGCTTATTAACTGATCCTTAATCTGTTCCCATTTGGTTGTTATTAATTCCTCCATTAAGACTGTTGATTTACTGCTGACTCACTCCTTGGAGCAGCTCTGTGTGTGTGTGTGTGTGTGTGTGTGTGTGTGTGTGTGTGTGTGTGTGTGTAATGAGCTCATTATGTATCTTAGCTGGGAGTTTAAAATACAGACGAAATGAGCTGACTTGTTCTGACCTAAGGATGTTCATTTAGCTGTGAGAAGAATAAAACCGAGCTCTTTCTGCCTCACAGTTACCTGCTTGCAAGTTGGTCCCAGTCTTGGTCCCTAGAACTCTACGTGGTGTCTGATATTCCATAGTTGTAAACACACTTAGACCAGGGTCACAACACCACTGTGGACGTAGATGTTAATGGGCAGTTGTGTGTGTGTTGGGGGGCTGTGTACCTTGGCACTGAGCTCTGCTCTGTTCCAGATGAAGGCTTAGAGGGTCCAGAGCCTCTTGTGTCCAGAGCCCACATGCAGGCTGGCCTAGAAGGCCCCCGTTCTGCGGAGCAGGGAGGGAAGACGCCTGTGAGGATCTTTTCCCTCCACCTACCCCACCAACTTGTCCCCAGATTTCTCTGGGTCCCACACCCGACGCCCGAGTCTGTGCTCCTGGAGGCCCTGGACCTAGGCTCACCCCAAGCAGATGCCCATTACCGCCCCAGCATGGGCTGGGTTCTTCTCTAGGCTCCTTGTCTTCCTCACAGGGATCGCTCTGCCCTAAGTGCCACCTCTCTGCATTTTAATCCTTAGAGTGAGGAATTAGCTGTAAGGCTGGGCAGGCTTGCTTGTCACTGGGCTGTGAGCCCGCCTGCCAGGTGCTGTGTGTTCCTTAGGACTTTAAGCCTGATTTGCCCAGAGTGAATGGAAACACATCTCCCTCTGAATCTGTGGGTTGGATTAGGAATTTTCTAGTAGGACTCAGCCTCCTTAAGGGTAGTAGAGGCTAGACTTACTGCTAACTAAATCAAATGCAGTAATGCTTTAATGTATAAATTTTATTTTCTTCTGTTATATATCAGGATAATGTATAAATTTTATTTTCTTCTGTTTGTTTCTGTTAGAAAAAAAAGATGGAAGTAGGGTGGAGATCAGGCCCATATCTTACATGCTAATTCTCAGTTGTTCATAAACATAAATTCATGCCAGAACCAGATAATCTAGCATAGCGTTCTGTACACTTTGTAAGTCTAATGCTCACATTTTAGGGGGAATCTGGTTTTGAGTGATAGCCTTCCCCAGGAGCTTAGTTTGAGGCTTCCTCTCCTTTAATTACTCTATCTCCCCACATGCTGCTCTGTGCTCTGTGTCCCATGGCTTGTGGAATTTGCTTGTTCTCAGCAAAGTTGGAGAGTTTTTAAAACTCTCAAATAATTGGCCACCACCCCTCCATGAGGCAGTGAGACAAGCAGTCTGGTGTCAGCCTTCTTTCTGATTGGAAGGGCTGTCCCTGAAAGGGGACATACGGTGGTGGAGGTGGGAATCCTGTGGGGCACTTACTGAGGACCTGAGATGGTTTAATCTCCTTCCTGGTCGGAGCCCAGAGGATGCTACTGGGGAGGATGACAGTCTATGGTCTGAAGATTCATTTTTGGGCTACAAGACAAGATTCACAAGTCCCTTCACCTTGCCTGACCCAGTTTCCTCATCTGCACATAAGGATGTCGATTTCTGCCCTATCCTCCTCACAAGTATCTCTGCACCCCAAACCACAGCAGAGTTACGGACTCAAGGTCCGGGTTGGCTCTGGGATTTATGAGCAAGGCAGTGCTAGCCTTTGTTAGGTTCAGATACCGCCCTGTGGCTGAAGCGCCACCTTGTGGCTAGAGAGAACATTGGCTTCAACAGAGTCAGGAAATGGCTCCTAAGCCATGTAACCTGGATCCAGTTTAGAAAAACATACCCCACATTCTTTGCATTGAGCAAAGTTTCTTGATGTGAAATTGTTTAGTTGAGTACACTATGGGCTGCTTGGCGCACTGCTTTCTCCCAGCAAAAAGCTGGGAGACTGGCTGATTTTATGAACCCATTCCTCAAAGAAGGTCACCAGAGGGAAGGAATCCCATCAGGGCTGGCATTTCAGCTGGAGACAGGCAGAGCTGCCAGGCAGATAATGGATGAGGGTTGGTAGAAAGAGCTCCTTTCCCTTGGCAGAACTGGCTTTGTGATCGCGGGCGTCATCTATATTAATCGCGTGGCTCAAGCATCAGTAGACTGGTTCCATGCCTAAACGTCCTTACGCTGTTGCCTCCACTGACTGCAGGTGACTGTCCGCTTTTTCATGCTTTCTTACCTGTCATCGTTTTCTTTCTGTCGGCCGCTAGCTAAGGAACACGTACGGCGTAATCGACAGAGTCGGACCTTTTTGGTGGAGAATGTCATAGGAGAAATCTGGTCTGAGCTGGAGGAAGGTAGCGTCCTTCAATGTCCTTTGCCCTTGCTAGATTTTTTTTTTTTTTAAGTGCTGCTGGCATAAATATGTACCAATTTGTTCTATTTGTACTTTTGGAAAATGTTCAAATCCATGGATTTTTAAAGGCCCTTTGGCCAAGGAAGAGTCCTTTCGGGAGCTGCAGTTTTACATATTGCAAAACCATGTAGACTCTTCCCAAGAAAGACAGAATTTGGAATCCCCCAGTCCTGGAATAAATCTTATTTGTGCTACCGGCAGGTAATGGGATGTGGCAGGTACACAGCACCATGTGACATGAATAGGCAGACTCTCTTTGGTTGTAAATTTCTCACTATGCTGCTAAGTAGCAAAGCCATCATGCTAATGAGTGTGTTGATGATACTTAGCTGAGTATCCCAAACTGTCACCCACAAGCTTGTTGTAGGGGGGGTTGACAAGGGTCCATATAAAGGATGGCTGTTTTTCTACCAGGTGACAAGTATGTGGTTGTGGACAGTGGTGGAGGCACCGTGGATCTGACAGTTCACCAGATTCGGTTACCAGAGGGACACCTGAAGGAACTGTATAAAGCCACAGGTGAGCCTGCATGGCCAGCTTCCTCGTACTGTGCCCTTCCAGATGGTTCCGTGTCACTCACTTCAGATTCCTTCCTTTCCTAGTGTTACCAGCATGTGAGATTGTAGGTGGTGGAGGATACTAGTGCCTGTTTGAAATTGAGGAAATGCAGTTAAGTGTTCTTTCCAGTGCAAGCCACTTGAGTTTTGGCATCAAGTGAGCCTGGACAAAAGAGTTTGTGTCTGAAAATTCTGGTAGGATGAGATTATAACCTGCCATTTCCCATGATTTAGAGCTAAGGTCAGCTTTCTAGGAGGTCTTAAATCACCTAGTCCTGGATCAAGGTTGCTAAACTAAGATGCTGTTTCTCTTTGGGGAGGAAGCAGGAGAAGGACCACGAATAGGAACATAGGCACTACACGGGCCTGTGTACAGCCAGACTCTGATGTCCAGGGTGTCAGTACCATGATGCTCCTCATTAGCTGGAGGTATGAATCTTAGTTGAAGTGTTAATTAATTTTAAACAGACTGTCCATGAGAGATTCCTGTAGGAAAGGTTTCTCCAGCTGGAAGAGAAGGAGCTAAGGCTGCTGAAGTAACAGGGAAGACCTTTCCCTGTGGCCTGCTTGCTAAGTGGGCCTGAGTTAGCTCTTACTTATGCTTTGGAGCGGAACATAGGGTGGGTGGGTCTATCCCTTGGCGTTTGGATTCAGTTCTGGGTGGTTTTTAACATCTTGGGCTCCCATTTCATTCTCGATTCAGGTGGACCCTATGGATCCCTGGGAGTAGATTATGAATTTGAAAAACTTCTGTGTAAAATATTTGGAGAGGATTTTATTGAGCAATTCAAAATCAAACGGCCTGCCGCCTGGGTTGACTTAATGATCGCATTTGAGTCTCGCAAAAGAGCAGCCGCCCCGGATAGAACCAACCCGCTGAACATCACCCTGCCCTTTTCCTTCATCGACTACTACAAGAAGTTCCGTGGGCACAGTGTGGAGCACGCCTTGCGGAAGAGCAAGTGAGTGGGGCTCAGCTTAGTGTTAGGGGGCTGCGGCTGTGTTGTGTTGATGGGAGGGAGGAATGAGGTGTGGACTCTTGAGTTCCTGTCATATGTACTTGCTGTGTGATCTTGGGCAAGTGTCTGGATTTCTCTGTTCCTCAGTTTTTAAATCTGGAGGGTGGGATAAGAATTCCACTTACTTCAAAGGGCTCTTGTGAGGATGAAATAAATTGTTGTATGTTGAGTGCTTAACACAATATCCGAGACTTGGAAAGTATGATCTCTGTGTGACTGAAAAATAGAAGCTTTGTAAAGAAAGCAAGGAAGTTAAGTTTGTGCATTGCCCAGTGTCTGAAAGAGAGCCTGCCACATGGCAGGTTCTCAGTAAATATTTGCTGAATGGATTCCATGGGAACCTGGGTTTCCAGCTTCTGAGTCCCTTGGCTGCAAGCATTTTTAGCTCAGTTTGTTGCAAAATGAATACTTAGGAATCTAGGCTAAAGCAGAATTCTTTTCCATTAATAGGGATAAATCATAGTTTTCTAAGAGCTTCAAAAATTGTTTTTGGTAAACACTAAGATTTTACTACAGTCAAACAAATTTACATACCTATCATATGCATAGTTACCTTTTTGTATTTTTGTGTTTCTAATTTTTTTTTTTTTTGGTCTTTTTTGAGACAGTCTCACTATACAGTTAAGATAGTTCTTAAGCTCACTTTGTAGCCCAGACTGGTCTCCAACTTGCAATGATCCTCCTGCCTCAGCCTCCTAAGTGCTGGGATTGCAGATGTGCACCACCATGCCCAGCTTAGTTACCTTTTTCTAATAAATTTTCTGTAATGGAAACTGCAGCTCATCATCCAGCTTCAGTGTTTGTCAGTTGTTAGCCAGTCTGAATCTCACCCCTTAATTGCTTTATCATTTTTTAAAATTTTATTTTAAAGAGAATAAGACCAAGCAAAATAAAACAGAATAAAGCCAATCAAAACAAACCAGTGTAAGTGTTACAGGACTTCAAAACAATACAAAATCAACAATGGTTACCATAATGCCTCTTGTTGGCTTCAGAATAGCTGTAGATACTTTCAGATATAGTAAAATCAAACAAAAGAGAATGGAATAGAATCAATTAAAAACAAAACAAGGAAGGCAATATTGGACTTCAAAACAAGATAATAGTAAATCCAAAATGGCTACTGTAATATAGCTTGCTGTCTTTGAAATAGCTGCCCCTGCCATTGGATATAACCAAACCAAACCAAATAAAATAAAACCCATCCCAACAAAACAATGAAAATGATACAGAACTTCAAAACAAAATAATGGGGAATTAACAGTGGCTACCACTTTTAGGAGATCGCCCTAGATGCTACACTGCATGCCGCTATCCTCTGAAGAGATGATCAGACCACCAGCCCTAGACCTGCAAAGTCAGTAAAACACCAAACACCACAGGCATCAAATTGCACTTCACCTGAGTAGCTATCAGTGTAGCCTGTGTTTCTCTGCATCAGCCAGTCACTTATGGGGGTGCAGAGGGGTGGCTCTTCTTGCTTCCCAGCCTGCGCACTAGAAGGGGCTGGGGTCTGACTGTCCCCCTGCCGGCAGCAGCCCATGCATGGTGCTGGTTTGCACCCCTCAATTACTTTAAAGCAAATCTCAGATAGATTATCATGTAACCCATAAACATATTAGCCTGTTTTCTAAAGGAAATAAAATTTAAATTATAACCTCAATATCATGATCACACTTAAAAATGAGTAATTATTCAGTCTCAAAAATGTCCAGAGTAATAGCATTAATATATTTTCCAGTTGCCTCATACAATTTTTTTCAGTTTGTATCATCATCCAAATGAAACCTGAGCAGTGCGATTGTTTATAGGCCTCACAAATCCCACTTAATTCATAGCTTTCCCTCCTGTTTCCCTTATGAAGTAGTAGGTGAAAAAACTAGTTGATTATTGGAGGTTCCTACAGCCTAGGTCTTGCTCACTGGATCCCTGTGGTTCCCTATAACTAAATCCCTGTAGTTCCCTTCTGTCTCCTGATATGTTTTTGCAAATTGATAAATTGATTTAGACATTTAATCGGAGTTAAGGTTGAATTGTTGGCAATCTACCTAACGAGTGTTGGTATTTCCTATCGTCTCATATGGAGAGACAAAAGATGTCAGCTTGTCTCTTCTTTTGTGATGTTGGCATCTGCTAATGATCATTGCGTGGGTCCATTTATTCATTCACGGTGACCACATGGTTATATCTTAAATTATCACTTCTTCATTTAGTGGAGCTGGAGTCCTCCTGTAGACAGTTGCCCTGTAGATTTGGTTGCCCTGGAGTGCAGTTCAAATAGGAAAGAAGCTAAGTGGTTAGTTCTTTCCCTATAATTCTAAATTTAAAAAATTATTTCCTAGTGCCATCCAAAGTAGTTGACGCGTTTTATTTTGTGGAAGAGCCAGGAGAATATCAGCAAGAATTCAAGGATGTAGCATGTTTAATGTGTTTTACATCATGGAAGTTATATCCGCATTGAGGCTCAGATTGTCCTGTTTAGACTGCAGGATCCTCTTGAAGTTGGCTCTGAGCCCCTCTGACATGGCACAGGTGTGTCTGACAGTGTCTTTGCCTTTTGGTATAGGAGGACACTTCTGACTCATCTCATGCGTTCCCTGTCCCAGACCTGGAATCAACCATTTCTCCAAGAACTCCTGGTCTTTTTAGAGGGAAACAGTAGATTAGATTCCAGATCTTCTGGCCAACCAGGCTTTCTTACTTGGCTGATGTTTGCTTTATCCCAGTTGATCTCCTGCACAGGGCACCTGCCCTCCGTGTTGAACCCCAGGTTCACCTGCACCATTCTTGGGACCTGCTCACTCTTGTAGTAAGTGGCCACAGCTGGTCATGGGGTCACTCACACGGCACCGTATTGTCTCCTGGCTGTGCCATGGAGAGAACGCCTGTTTGGGAGCACTGGCAGCTCAAGTCATGTTGCCTGGAAGCACCCACTGTGTGCTTCGTTTCAGGGGCTGAGGCACCACTTGCTGCTCGGTCTCTTAAGTTCTGAATGGGCAGTGTACATCCTGCAGGTTTGCATGAGTGTGTTCACAGATGTGCTGTTTAACTCAGTCTTCACAGCTTTGCCCACCAGGTAAGGCAAGTGCTGCTTCCCTTGACTTGGACGTGAGAAGACCAGGCTGAGACCCTGGAGTCCAGTCCCAGCAGCTCCGGGGCCTGTGCTGTCTCTGTTCTACCCTACTGCCTCTGCACATGCAGTGTCTTTGCTGGAGACCTTGAGGCCATGCAGCAATATTAGTTTATGCCTGCCATGCAGCAGCTACCTGGAAGTTTGAGGAGGCACAGCTGCTCATGCACAATTCTGTCTTTATGTGGCACTACAAAAGCGGGTCACATGGGCCTTTGACTTCAACTTTCATTGGATTCAAAACGTGAATTCTTCAAAAGGCGGAGAGCTCCATTTATCTACTTGCCTCTTGCCCTAGACCATGGCCATTCCAATCTCGGGGGAAGGTCACCTACAAAGAAGAGAAAAAAAAGAGGTTAAGTCTTATTCTTGGGCTTCAGGGGTCCAGGTCCTAGCAGTTTGGGATTTCTCTATGCTTTTGAGCTTGAAACTCCTTTCTGCTCCCCAGTGATGTGACAGTGCCCTGCCAGCCATGATGCACTGCTGTGTGGATGGGTCTGGTATTGTGCAGACACTCACTTTTTGATCCTTTCTGTGCCCTCCTCCCACAGTGTGGACTTTGTGAAGTGGTCCTCCCAGGGGATGCTGAGGATGAGTCCCGATGCCATGAATGCCCTTTTTAAGCCAACCATTGACAGCATCATCGAGCACCTTCGTAAGTATCCAGTCAAGGTTTGGCTTCTTGATGAGGCAGAGCTGATACCAGCTTTCCCAATGTCACCAAAAAGTACATATGCAGGTGTATTGGCAGAGGGTACAGGGCAGCCATAGGCCTGGGGCTTGCAGGAGCAGGTGGGGCCTGGTCACAGGCTCTGGGGCTCTTTCCTGGAGAACCTTTCCTCACCTGGGCTTCATTTTGACTTCAAAAGATTAGGCTCTCTAAAGCCAAATTATCTTAGAGGACAGGGCATGCATCTCATTTGCAAAATTAGAAATCCTTCCCTGCCAGGAGAGAAGGAACTGTCCCATAAACCAAAGGAAGATCTTCAGCACAAGGACAAACAGAATCTGGTCATGCCACTGTCCTGCTGAGTCAATGACCCTTACCCAGGGACACACAGTGACTCACTGGAACTTTTTTCATTATCCAAACCCCTTATACTCTTCTCTCCACCTCACCTACCAAACCAGAATACCCAGGGGTAGGGTGAGATTTTTTATGAAAATCAGAGCATCCTGTGTATAGCAGCCTGCCAAACTGACTCAATGGAGCGACAAGTTTGGAGAGTATTCCTGTTCTCCTTAACATGCTCACCACCTCTCTGTTAAAATGAGATCCTACTTAGCAGTCACTCTTGCCTTCATTCCTGAGCATATTGGCATTAAAACTCCTCAGTAGAGAAGATCAGTACAGAAGTTTGGTTCACTGAACTCAGTTGGATCAAGTGGTTTCATCCACTCCCTGTGGACCCAAGCAGCTCAGTTCCCCTTGCTTGCCAGGTTTTAGTGACATGACCTTCTCACTTCCCTTCCCTTTCAGGGGATCTGTTCCAGAAGCCTGAGGTGTCCACAGTCAAGTTCCTCTTTCTGGTGGGTGGCTTTGCTGAGGCACCCCTCCTGCAGCAAGCTGTGCACACTGCCTTCGGCGACAGGTGCCGGATCATCATTCCCCAAGATGTGGGCCTCACCATCCTTAAGGGTGCTGTCCTGTTCGGCCTGGACCCTGCCGTGATCAAAGTGCGCCGGTCCCCGCTCACCTACGGGGTGGGTGTGCTGAACCGGTACGTGGAGGGCAAGCACCCGCCTGAGAAGCTGCTGGTGAAGGACGGCACTCGCTGGTGCACTGATGTCTTCGACAAGTTCATCTCTGCTGACCAATCCGTGGCCCTGGGGGAGCTGGTCAAGCGTAGCTACACCCCAGCTAAGCCCTCCCAGCTGGTCATAGTCATTAACATCTACAGCTCCGAGCACGACAGCGTCAGTTTCATCACTGACCCAGGGGTCAAGAAGTGCGGCACACTGCGCCTGGATCTCACAGGGACCGGAGGCACGGCGGTGCCCGCCCGGAGGGAAATCCAGACCCTCATGCAGTTCGGGGACACCGAGATCAAGGCCACAGCTGTCGATATAGCCACCTCGAAAAGCGTCAAAGTGGGGATCGACTTCTTAAATTACTAGCCATGCCCCCCAGCCCCTGCCACTGGACTCAGCTCATCTGCATCTGCTGACTCACCCTGACTGTCCTCCCGGACCTTCTTACTGCCTACCCAAATTTCATCAGGAAAATGGAAAGAACCAGGGCAAGAAGTAACTGCAGAGTTTTTGAGGGCACACTGGAGTCAGACATTAAAATTTAGGTGTGGGAATAGGAAATCCAAGGATCCTAGCAGACCGGTTGGTTTTCTTACATAGCAGCGTGGTGAACGAGCTACCCGACACGGGAATCAGTACTCTTCTGAAGCCGTGGTCAGGTTGTCCTTTGAACACATCTTGGTTAAGTAGAACTTAGGATGCCCCATTACCGTCTTTCTAGATTTGAAGTGAAGTTTTTGAATAGGAAGGAACTCTTCATTTGAGATCTTTTTAATTGTTTTGAGATGGTAGTATAAAATGCCACCCATCTGCAGTTAATTTCTGCCCGTCAGCATGGCATGAAAGTGGCGGTTCAGTGGGAGTCTGGAGTGTTTTTAGCAGGTGGAAGAAATGCCTGTGCTGGCCGCTATTTTAGGTTCTCATATACTTTAAATTCCAAAGAGGTGTGGGAAGAAGCCTTGGTTGACCCGCTAGGATTGGGGGGAGTACAAGTGGTAATACATCATCTTTTTAGCAGATAAAAATTTGCTGCAGTGGAAATAGATTTTGAAGAGCCAACTTATAGTAGATGCCTCTGATCTGTGGGAATACATGCCAGGATGTCCAGCCTGAAATCACAGATAGTGTGGAACCCCGTGTCTTCTATGTTTTGCCCTATACTTATATACCTATGAGACAGTAGTTTATAAATTAGGCCCAGCAAGAGATGAATGACAGTAATAAAAACCGGACAATCATGAAAGTTCACTGTAATGAAATTTATACGAATGTAGTGTCTCTCAGAATATCCTGTTGTCCTATGCTGCATTTCTGGATTGTGGTTGACAGTAGTTAACTGAAACCACAGCAAATGAAGCCATGGATAAGGGGAAACTACTGCATGAGTTGTGCTATAATTTGTAATGTATTACACCAAATCCTGGTTTCCATAGGTAATTCTAGTTAACCTGGCAGGAATTGGGTGTGAGAAAATGAGGTTGCCATTAGTCTTGTTCATTTCACCTAGCCCAAAAGTCTAGAGTAGCCCTGTGCTTTGAAAACGTACCAATTTTAAATGAAACCCTCCCACCTGCCCTGCTTTCTCTCTGAGTTCTGGCTTTTTGTCTCTGCACTGTGAAAGGAGTGCATTGGTGAAACACGAAAGAAGAATCCCGTCCCATAAATGCTTTATTAAACTTTTGTTTCCAGATCTGCTCGAAAAATGATGTGTAGCTCTGTACTTCAAGGATGAAGCTGGGTTTTTGTTACTTTTAGTTTTTCCTGAAGCAAGTGGCTCACTTGCATCAGATTGTCTGGTGCTTGATAAAATGAAGCTAACTTGGGAGAGGAAGGCTAGAACCCTCGTTTTTTTGGGGAGTGGATCTGTACCACAGGTGACTGTGCTTCAATTGGAATTTGGGAATTACTATCTTTAGGTTTTGTCAAAGCTGAGATACAGACCTCAGGCTGCACTCTCCATCCGAAATCCCGTAGGGAAGAGGATCCACCCCACACCTTGTCCTCTTAGTGGAGCTGGGCCTACACCGTGCCTGGGGAGGGCCCTTTTCACTGTCACAGAAAAGTTCTGAGGAGGGAAAAGATGGTAAGAAAGGAGCCCCAAGAACAGGATTGACTGGAGAATTGTGACTACATTCTCTCCTTCCCCACGGCACAAAGCTAGCTTCCTCTAACATTCAAGAGCCAACTGAGGACAAAGAATCAAGAATCTGACTCAGTCCATATCATCTGTTCCAAGCTGTCTTTTCCACCTGCTGGAATTCATCCCAATTTCCAATCACTGGAGGCATGCATAATGAATGAGTAGAGAACCAGAGAAGGAACTTCAGATGCAAGTTGGATTCACAAACCCATTATCATAGCCAATATGCAGATCTTAAATAGCATCTCAAACCTCATTTTAATGTCTTCTTTTTCACATTGCCTGCTGCACATTCTCTGCTAGACTGTGAAACGTGAACAAACCACAGAACTAGGGAATGTGAGATTTTGCATCCAGGCACCAAGGTGTGTTTGCTAGGGGTCTCCTGCTGCTCACTGCTTCGGAAGCTCAATGTCATGGGTCCTTATTTGGTGTTGCTAGCTATCATCTACAAAGAAGACTTCAGTTTAGTTAGGAGTAATATAATTTTATGTACATACAGTATTAGAATCTTGTACAGAGTCTTTATTTCTACAATGTGCTATTGTTTAAAAAAAGGAAAATGCTTCTTAATTTCTGTTGCTGATAATTGCTACCCTTAATCTTCCAGTTTCGTTTCTAAATGGCTCTCACTAATTGTTGATTGTGCCATTATCAAGCGATGGACTATGTACACAAGCCTGAGCCATAGACAGAGGAGCCTAGGCTGAGAAAACACCTGGCTCAACAGCTTTGCTGGACCCTCCCACACGTGCATCCCTTCCCAGAGTCGCAAGTTATAGTTAAGGCAAAGTCCCAATTTTCCTGTCCAGACCTTGAGAACTGAAAGCAATGTGACTATGCAGAAAAATCTATGAAAACTCAGTATCTGGTGGGGTTGTTGACCACTCCTGGTGGGGCAAAGTGGTCACCTGAGTACAAAGCTTGGTGTGCTGTTTGTACACCAGGGTCCCGGGGGGAGCCCTGTGATACACAAACCAAGGTTTTCTGTTGGGTTAAGTGTCAGTGTGAGCAATAGAGCCACGCCCCTCTTTTCCTGCTAGTATAAACCGCTTCCTGCATAGCATTAAGATCTCTTAGTCTACTATTTCCTGAAATGACCTTGTAGAAATCTGCACTGTTAGCAAATTGATGATGGACGGGGGTGATAATTATCTGGATTTTCTTCTGGCCCCAAAGATGCAGCCTCTGTAGTTAAACCCCTTAAACAAAATCCCCAAATCCATCCCTTTCCCTCACTGAAATACTGTAGAATAAGAGCACTGGGTAAGTATACTTGGACATATGCCTAATCTTAGAAAGTTCCTAGGAGGTCTGTGGCCTTGACCGATTACTCAGTTGCTCCTGGCTTATTTCTGACAGATGCCTCTCTTGGAAGCAGGGCTGTTGGTTTCCTCTGTAGCCTTCTAGGTATACAGCAGGTATTGCTGCATGCTGAGTGGCAGATTGGTTAGGGACAGCCATGATAGGAAAGAGGAGGAGCATGGAGTGATTTTTTGGAGTGATAGCTACTTTGAGTCTAGATTACAGAGCTTGCCCCACCCTTAGAATGTTATTTAGACCAAGTTTAGCTTTTAGAGCCCAGGTCTGGTTAATTGCCAGGGTAGCAGTGAATCGCATGCACCAATATTAACAGGAGCAAAATGCCTTATTAGTTGAAGATCGAATTTCACATGTAGAGATGTAATCGCTGTGATTAAGCTGCATATGTATGCTGGGGAATGGCTTACGTGGATGACTAGTGTAAAAGTTGTTGGTCATGATGTCACTAAGACCTCTCATTTGCCTGAAATGTGGAACTGTATTCTAAAATCTCTGCCACCAGGGGTCTTGTTCACTACAAAATAAATCCAAATTTCACAGAACTTTGCAGCAGTTCACAACTGGACAGGATTGTGTCTGCAAACTCTCTTGTCTTCACAGATTTCCAATAAAGTAAAACTCTGGATCTCACACGGCTCAGATTTTTTTAATCCCCATGCTGGATTTGTAAGCAGAATTACAGACATGGATCATTACCGACCTCCCCTTCCGCACTGTCTCACATGGAGTCTGATTTCTAGGTCCATTCATAGGTGGCAAATAATTTATTAACAGTCATTCCAATAAGATTGCCCCTTCCTTGCTAGGAACCAAGGCTCTGTTGATGTCCACAGAGTCCTCTCTCCCTTCCAGCAGGCTCGGAGGTTTCAGATATGCAGAGAGAAGGCAGATACCTAGGGTGACTCCTCTGTTGCACCCAGCTGAAGTCATTCAAACTTGTGAAAGGCCTGTGGTGGTTCCTTGCCCTCTGGCACCCTGATAGGCACATAAAATTGGATGTCCAGAGCTTTTGGTTTCTTCTAGACTCTGTCCCTGGGTATCCTCCAAGCTGGGTCTAGAGTCTTCTAGATGATCTGAGGTGAGGTCCGGGCTCCAAGAGGGTTATTAGTAGTGGTTGCCTCCACCTGCATTCATCTGAAGTTCATTTCTCATGAGAGCAGAGATGAAGAACCCATGGGCAGTGTTTCAAGCAAACTTCAGATATATGCACTGGAAAGTGCCCTAGTGCCACCAGGCTTGAGTGCCCTTCTCCATAAAGACAGGAGCTCCAGGTTGGTGTCTGTAAGCCCACTCATTCCCTGTGTTTCTGTTTCACACATTGGCATCGTGGGGGGTTTCAGTATAGTGAGAAAGTCTTGGGCCTCCTTTGTTCCTGTAAAATGAAGATGATTCGAAAGAAATATGGCTCAGCCTCCCTCTAGCATGGCTTTGTTTTGGTACATTGCTCCTGTACATGTCCTGGGCTTCTGGAAAACCTGACCTCTCAAATAGGAGACAGAAAGGTGGAGGATGGCAAGGGCTGTCTTATGTGGTGGTGCATGCCTGTAATCCGAGAAATCTGGGAGGCTGAGGCAGGAGGATTGCAACTTTGAGCCCAACGTGAGAAAACTAGTAATTCAGAGAAATCCTGTCAAAAAAATTTTTAAGAATTAGGGGTAGAGTGTGAAGAACCTGGGTTCAGTCTTCAGGGAGTGGATTGGTAGGCCCAGGGAAGCACTTCTATTTAGAAGTCACCAAGAACACAAAACTTCAGCTCCTCTCCCAGCTCTCTGGCTACTGCTGGCCTTTACACAGCTCTGCCTTGAGCTGACTCGGTCACCACCATTGCACCCTCTGTGGGGCACTGGGGACAGAAACTGTTCCTGCCGCTTCTTCAATGCCATACACACAGCAGAACCCCCCCCACCACCACCACACACACACCCCAGGGGGACGGACACGTGACAACTCTGAGGCTCTGAGGCCAGATGTACACTGAGAAAATGTCCAGATTTTCACCTGGGGCTGGGCTGAATGGGGCTCAGAGGGCAGCACCCCAAATTTCTTGGCTCAAGCTCCTCTGGATCCCAGGTTCTAAAAGAGAAGGGAGGGGCCGGCTCAGCATGCCCCACCCTGGGTGAGCTCACAAAGGCTGGGGGGAGGCTGGAGACTGGAGGTGGGGGGTGGAGGGAGGCCAGGGGTGATCCAGGCACCCAGGTGAGAGCAGCTGGGGTGAGCATGGGGTGGTGGGTAAAGATTCATGTTCTGTTCTGCCTTCCTCCTCAGGGTCATGTGCTTCCTGCCCACCTCCTCCAGGCAGGCCTTCTGGGTCCCACCGAAGGTTCACACTTCTGTCCCTGAGAGTCACCTATTCATGCCCACTTTCATGCCATAACTCTCAAAAGAATTACTTAATCTCAGTATGCTTTATCTGTAGCTTGGGTTCTTGCCCATAGAGAAGCTGTGGGCATTAAGAGCAGCGAGCAGTTCCCTAAGCCGTGCGTATCTAGTCTTCTCTACATGTCTGACTCTGGCCTAGAAATGGCTATGTCGGAAGGCTGCTGAGAGGGCTTGCTGATATGGTGCATGGAAGGCTTTGAGAATAATTCTTGGTTGGCAGGTGGAGGTGCTGGACACTCATTTGCAGTCTGCTCCGCCTGACCAGCACCAATACCTCTCAGGATTCAACCCTGAGGCCAGGGGTTCTAGATGTGGTTCTGGCCTTGCTGCTCCTGGCTTGGTAAGGGCTGAACTCCTTTAGCAGTGCCTATTACTGCTGACGGCCCTGGAAGGTGGCCCTTCCTTCTACCCAACAGCCCCACCTTCCTGACTTCAGAGCACTGCTTCAAGGAGACCAATTAGGACAGGAGATGGCAGTAGCCACAGGATTCAGTGGCAAACCCTGGCTGATTTGGGATGGGGAGATAACTGGTGATTCCTGAGGCAGGAAAGCTCTTTGTTCCAAAGAGAGCATCCACATAAACCGGTACTGGGCCCCACCACACCCTGCTATTCCCCTTGGATGCCACGCCAACTTTTTTGAGCCTTTCTGATTCCTTCAAGTCATGACCTATTCTGATTTTTTGTTGTGATTCTCTAGTGTGTAGCATCCTACGCATTAGATACTATTGGTAGCTGATGCCCCCATATATGACAGCCAAAAATTTTCTAGACATTGCCAAATGTTCTGAGGGCAAAGGTGGTGGAGGCAAAAATTATCGCTGGCTAAAGAAAGTTGTGTTAATGTAGGAATCTCATCTCTCCTCTTCCCCAAATTATGAGTCCTACATGGGGGCTTCTGGGTCTTGCTTATCTTTATATTCCCAGTTTCTGTCACATTTATTGCTGTAGTATGCATATAGTTCATGATTTTTGGGTGGATGAATGAGTGTATGGATGGACGGGTGGATGGACGAGTGGAGGGATGGATGGGTGGATGGATGGATGGATGGGAGGAGTCTGCCAGGAAAGGGAGACATTCATGGGCAGTGACCTGTATATCTGTTATCTAAGAGAGCATAAAAGATAATGATCTCCATGATCCTTGTAACTGAAACCATCTCTGCTGCTGGCCTTGAGTGAGACGGTGGTGCTTCCTAGGCTCTGGTAAGGTCATTCTTTAACTCTCAAGTTTTCTGGCACACAAGGAGTAAGTTTTTGATGCAGGAATTTTTGATAAGGTGATTTCTTTCCCTCCTTCATTAACAGAGAACAAAATCATGGAGTCTTCCAAGATCTTCATGAGGCAACTGCCAATTGCACCAGGCTACAGTGGTAAGTGGCAGCCTGGAGAACGTGGTCATGGTCTCTTTCCTTGTCTTGACCCATTGTCGGTATCTTACCAGCTCATTGTGTTAGTGTAGGTTCTCCAGCTTCTAAGATATCCTGAACACAGCATTGCTGATAGCTGGACTCTGATACATGGAGAGAAAAGGCTTAGACCAGATCTCTCTGACATGCATGCATGCTGGAAGTGCTTTGAGCCTGTTCAATGAATTTCAGCAAGGTTAAGAGTGCTATGAGGATTGATCTAGTGAAAAGTTACAGCCCTGCCCTTCCCTGATTGGGCTTTCTCAAATTGCCCCCCACCCCCAGGGAGGATCTGTGCTCTTATTTTTTCCTGTATCTCCTAAGGGGTGGTGGTCAATTGCCCTGTTATTTGGGGTGGGGGCTGTCCTGGCAACTGCAAGTCCCTTAGTCCTTGGCCAAATAGGACCATGGGCCATTCTTCCTAAAGACTTTCTTCTCAGGCTTCTGGGCCACTAAGAGTTCACTGCATCACATACTGTGGGTGATAAACCCAGTGGCTCCATGTGCCTTCTTATCCTCAGATATTCTGGGGGGTGGGAGGCAGAGGTGCTTGGGACTATTGCATGATCCTAGCCTCACCCTGGCCCTTCTGGCTGAATAACAGGCTTTGGTTCTGGCACGTCCGGCGTGTGGGTCAACTGTCTGTGTGGCCACTGTCTAAGTGACTATAAGCACCTCACCTGCTCATGGTAAGGGGAAAACATCCTATAAAATGGGTGCATTTGTTTCAGAGGGCACTGTAATCAGGTCCCATAAACCAGGTGATTAAAAACAAGAACTTATTTCCCTGTTCCACTGGCTACAAATCTGATCAAAGGGCCAGTAGCGCCATGTCCTCTCTGAAGTCTGCAGAGGATCTTTCCTTTGCCCTTTCATGCTTCTGGGTGTCCCAGTGGCCCCTGGCTTGTGTCAGTATTACTGCAGCCTCTGCCTCCATCTTCACAGGACTCCTTATTCTCCTGGATCTCTAATTTTGTGTGCCTCAAATCTCTTCTTTTCATTTATAAGGACACCAATCATTGAATTTAGGGCCCATCCTAAATCTAGAATGATCTCATTTTTAGAACCTTAATTATATCTGTAAAGGCTCTTTCTAGGGAAGACCATTTCACAGGTTCAGGGGAATCTATGTTGGGGTACAGCACAACCCACTATGTGGACCACACAATTGTTGCAATGACTGTTTTAAATATGTTAGTGCTTAGACTCAAAGGCATGTGTGCACACACACATGCACACATATACACACACTCATGCACATTCCTGTTAGCACATAGAATCCGTATACACCAGCATAGGCCCTGAGCAGGGAAGCCACTGTGGTAAGGCCCCTAGGGTTCTGTGGCTTCCCCTGTGACATTAGGTTATCCGTTGATCTGTGGATTGTAGACACTGGATAATGTGCAGAGTATTGATACTGCCAAGGGCAGTCTATTAATTCTGTTCTTCCAGAGATGGCTTGTGACAGGGCTCAGAGCTTGGGGGTTCCTGCCTTCGTGCTTTAGCTAGGTTTTCTTTCCATAGGGAAAAAAGCAAAAATGTTAGGTTGTAATCCTGAAAGATATTTGTTTGTTTATTTTGCAATTAAAACCAAGTTCTTAACCAGTGTTCCTCAATTGTTCTTTTAAAAGAGTCTGATTCTGATCATATTTATAGCATTTAGGGTTCAGCAGCCAGTTTAAGTAGTTGTGTTTTACCCATGCTAATTGTAATGATCATATGTTATTTTGTGGGAAATGGTGAAAAATTGTCCTAGGGGTGGGTCTTGCAGATAATGAGTTTACTTTTTGTGTAATATGTCTCGGCTTTTAATAAGCCTGCAATTTCCCCATGGTCCAGCAAGAAAGATCCCAAATGCAATTTGGGAAGTGTCAAGGGAAATGTGCTTTCTCACTAAAAAGAGACATAATTTCAAGTACTCCTCAGACCACATTTTGGCCCATTAATGCTTTCCCCATTGTTCACGCTGACATCAGGGTTTTGCTATCAAAGAATATGACTGTCGTTGCCTTTGTTGAAAGCGGCCTTCCCTCCCTGGTTCCAAGGTCATTTTTTGTGGCCTTGGGAGGGCCCGGCTACAGTGAAAACAGCAATACCGCCTGTATTAATGGCCTTTGGAAAACTACAGAGGAGCTGGCTGGGGAAGAAGCCGAATGGCAGGCGGCAGTGATGGGTATTCGAGGTGGGTCCACCCTCCTCACTAGCCTGCCTTGCTCAAGGCCGCGGTGCCACCGGATCTTGCAGGCTTCGTGCCGTTCCTCAGCTGCCAGGAAACCTCCAGTGAGGACAGTGTGGAGCACTGTCTGAAAACCTTCCGGGAGAAGACGCAGCGATACAAAGACCAGCTGGAGGAATTCCGCTGCGCCGTGGCCACTGCTCCGAAGCTGAAACCCGTGTGCTCCGAGGAGACGGTCCTGAGGGTGCTGCATGAGTACGCCCGGCAATACCACCCCCTGACTCTGGGTAGGAGTGCCCCAAACCAGCTTCCCCCAGCCCTGGCCCCAAGCACGCACCCCAGCATGCAGCCACGGACAGCACAGACCCCAGCATTGCTCCATGTCCCTGGTACTCCATGCAAAATGAAAGGCTCAGTTTGTGCATACCAGAAAGATATGCATGTAAGGGGAGGGACACAGGCCTGGTCTGCAGAAGGGGCTGCTCCGAGAACTCAGAGCAAGGCATCACAGCGCACTTCCAAACTTCAGCATCTGGGTCTGCAGATAGCATTGTTCAGTTCCCTTCTAGGTGCTGGCCATTGGAATTCCCCGGCCACACAGCACTCCCTCTCAGGGGCAGGCGAAGCAAGGTTGCCAGAGGTGGGGCCACTTGGTTGGGGTTACAGCAAGATGCCAATGTCAGTAGGGGTTTGAAAGCAGTTCCTCCAGGCACCAGTTCTGTAGGAGAAGCTTTGCCTTGAATGAGAAGCAATGCCACCAAGGCTGACTTCATTATAGTCACAACGATTTGACCTAAGTTATTTTGAAGTCTAAAAGGCCTTTAAAAAATGGGCTTTACTGTTATAACTGTTTTGGGGTCTTTTCAAGAACGTATGATACTTTACATGTTTGTTGTACTTTAAATTTTTTCAAACAATGCAAAGAATATCCGGCCAAGTTGGGATTTAGCCCAGCTCTTTTAACTACTTGCTGTGTGATCTAAGGTAACTTGGTTCCCCTCTCTGGGCTCCAGTTTCTTCATCCCAGGCAGGGACTAGATGCTCCTAACGGTGCCCTCTGGCTCTGAGTTCTGGGATCTTTGGACTCACTCAGCTTTTATGGCAACTGGAGGAGACAGTGGGGGCTGTGAAACTTGCTCAAGGTCACCCCACCAGCCAGAGTCATAGCAATGAACCAAAGAAAGGTAACTGGTACTACTGAGTCCAGTGTGTTTTCTCCTGATTCCCTGGATGCATATCTTTTTCCCTCCATTACATAAAACATCCCAGAGGATGCTGGCAGTGTGTTCACCAACCTGAGAGAAAAGCAGGACCGGAAACTCAGCCAGACCAGGCTTGGGCCCTGGCCCTGCCCATTCCTGGTCAAGCCTCTCTGAATCTCTTTGCAAGTCTTTTTCTTCATACGTGGGAGGTAACAATGGTGAGGAAGCACCATTTCCCAGGTCCCTGACACAGGGTACCACCATTCATGGTGGCTGTGGCTCTGTACCACGTGTAGACTTTGATTAGCTGACTGGTGTTAGCGAGCTCGTGGGCACAGCTCACTGTTCAGTGCCCTCAGGAAGCACGGTGTCTCTTTACAGAATGTAAGAACATGAAGAAACCCCCCCAGGAGCCCCCAATCCCTGGCTGGGCGGGCTTCCTGCCCAGAGCCAGGGTCACTGAGCTGGGCTGTGCCACGAGGTACACTGTCATGGCCAGAAACTGCTACAAAGACTTCCTGAACATCAAGGAGCTGGCCGAGCGGGCACATCAGAAATATGCGGAGTAAGTATGGCTTGGGTCACAGCCACAGGCGGTAGCAGGCGGGAGAAGAGCAGACTGGCTGGGGTTACCAGGTGCCCCATCTGCACAGGGACCATCTTGGGTGCAATTAGTTTTTTTTTTTTTTTTTTTAAGAGGAAAAAGAGAAAAACACAAAACAAAACAAAGTGGTGTAAGGGTACACGTAATACAGAACTACAAAAAAAAAAAAATAAGAAATCACCTGTTAGTAGATTACATATTATCATCTTGAAAATAGTTGCTCAAATCACAGTATCAAAGAATACAAGGTGGACATTCAAATAGGGAGACTGTAAACATCTGTGTTCAATGATCCAAAAACATTGATAATAGTCAGCTATTTAACACCCCCAAACACACTTGCTGTTATATCCGTTAGAGCTCTTTTTCTTTTTGTTTTCTTTTTTTTCCCTCTCTTTTTTACAACAAAATTTACACATTTTGGATTTTATTACTCCTTAGTGCTTATTACTTTTTTGGGGGGGGGAGAGAATACAGTCAAATATGGCAAAACAAAGCTGTCAGTCAATACCAAGGATAGACGTAGCACATGGTGTAGAACAGAGTACAAGGTTATCAACAATGGTTATCTCTTGTTGTCTCTTGTTTCCTTAAAAAGAATTGTCTATCTCATTAGATATTATAAAGTTGGACAAAACAGTAGAGAACAAGACCAATAAAACTTAGGCATTGTAAACATTACAGGACTTCCAAAGAAGACAATAGTCAAACCAGAATGGGTATCTTAGTGAATCTTATTGCCTTCAAAGTAGTTGCCTATGTCTTTAAACTTGATACTATCATATAGAATGGAACAGAGTCTAATCAGTCAAAACAAGATCGTGGGAGTATTACAGGACTTCAAAACAAGTTAATAGGAAATCAAAAAGAGTTACTATTTATATATCCTAATTTTTTAAATTTTTTCTTTAATTGAGACAAACATAAGAAATGACTAAATAATTTTTTTAAAAGAATAAGGGGGAGATTGAGATAAAACAGGACATAACAATGTAACAATAGAGGTCAAAGCATGACTGTTTCAGCAACCTAGTACTTCACCACCATATAACCTGACTTAATAGTAGTTACCATAGTGTCTGTCTTTTTCCTTGAAATATTTGATGCAATTAGTTATATGGAAGGGCCTCCCATGTCACTGTCACGCTTTGCTCCCAAGAGTTCCCTGGGGCGGTTTTGCTGGTTTGTAGGATTGGGGGGGGGGGAGTAAAACCTTACAGGGCCACCTGTCAGGGATGCTGCGGGAAGGAGATGGAAGGTGATACCTGGGCACAGTACAGGGTGCTTCCTGTGGTCTGTTTCTCCTCCCACAAAATGGAGACAATACTTTTAACCTTTAGGGTCAGTTGTAAGAACTGGGATATAGCATGCTTTCCCAGCACCTGCATATTGTATTGTCTTATTTTATTATTAAAAGAAATAACTTTCTGACCTTTGTTCTTACTACAGACTGTATGGAGGTAACTCCACACAACCTTCTGCTCTTGCCCCCAAAGTCTTACAGCATGAAGAGCCAGTGGCCAAATACTCAGACTTCTCCAGCTCAGGTAAGGAAAGGCTCTTCCTTTCCTTCCTACTGCTATCCCTCCCTCCCTCCCTCCCTCCCTTTCTTCCTTCTTTCATTCCTTCCTTCCTTTTTGCCTTTTTAGACAGGGCACGATGTCTCTCTCTCTCTCCTCTCTTCCTTCTCCCTTTTCTCTCTCTCTCTCTCTCTCTCTCTCTCTCTCTCTCTCTCTCTCTCATCTTTTTTAAACAGAGTTTTACTATGCAGTTCAGCCTGGCCTTGAACTCATTTTGTAGCCCAGGCTGGCCTCAAACTCACAGCCATTCTCCTGTCTCAGCCTCCTGAGTGCTGGGATTATAGGCATGCACCACCACTCAGCACAGACAGAATTTTGCTATATGATCCAACTTGGCTTTGAACTTGCTTCTTGCCCTAGCCTCTCTAGCACTTGGATCACAAGTGTGGGCCCCCAGTCCGTGTGCACTGCATTTCAAAGGGTAATGAAATGTTTGCAGAGCCTTCTCTCCTGAGCTGGCCACAAGCTTGCTACTGTCTTCCAGGGGGAATCTGCCCTGCACTTGGAAGACCCCAGAGAACTCCAGAGGACTCCAGAGCTCCGGTGACATGTGGCTGTGCTCATATACCAAATATGTGCAGCAACAGGGAGACCTATCTAGAGCCACTGTCCTCAGTGAAGCATGCAGACGCCTAGGAGCCTGTGGGCTCTCAGGGAGAGGTGGGGTGGGGGTGCCAAAAGCCTGCTGTCCTCACCCCAGACCCAGCCTCTCACCACACTCCAGTGGGCAGTGAGAAGCTCAACAGCCGGAACTCTTTCCTGCTGTCTGCCTTGGCGATGACACGACATTATGACACAGGTCTTCTGTTGTCCTGTGGGAATAAAGAGGATCCTTCTCAGAGCGCTGGAGGATGTTAAGGCTGTTTTTTCCAGGTGTTGCTGACCTTGGGAAGGACCAGGGTGAGGTTGTCACTTTCTAATCCTTGAGGCAAACTGTCATAGCTTGGCCAGGCTCTTCTCTGAGCCCAGCCCAGCCTCCTGAACAGTCTGTCCTTCTCAGCCATCCTGGGCCTGGCATGCTGTGTCCTCAACCTTGGCATAGACGCCACGCCCCCAGGAGGCCGCAGCTGCCAGACCCCAGCTGTATTGGTTTTCCGGGGCTGCCCTAACAAAGTACTAGCAATCAATGGCTTCAGACAGAAAAGCTTATTGTCTCACAGTTCTGGGGGTGGGGCAGACATCTAAAATCAAGTTGCTAGCAGGGTCTCTTCCCTCTGATATGTAGAGGGCAGTCCTTGCCTCTTCCTAACCCCTCAGCCACCATCGCAGTCTTTGGGGCATAACTATAATCTCTGCTCCCCAAGTTACACGCTGTTTTCCTTGGGTCTCTGGGTCTTCTCATAGTCATCCTCTATGAACACAGCAGTAATGTTGGGTTAGGAGCCTGCCTTACTCCAGTCTGACCTCATCTTAACTAATCGTACCTACAATGACTATTTCTAAATCAGTTGTGTTCTGAAGGGCTTTGTTGCAGGGATATCTGTCAACCTGCAGCTCTGGCTACTTGCCCCCTTGTCCCTGGCTACTTGCCCCCTTGTCCCTGACAGGCACTCTTCTGACCTCACCAGGCAGCCTTCATGTGGAAGAGATCGGAAGCAGCTCTGTAACTGGGCATGGGGTGTGGGTAGTTTAAATACGAAGTGTCCCCCAAAGTCTCATGCACTGATGGCTTAGTCCCTGTTATGGTTTAGATCTAAAACAAGTCCACTCCCCCTGCACCCTCTCCTGGAAATTTCACATGTTCAGAAGTAGAACTTTTGGAAGGTGATTGGATCATGAGGAGTCTATACTCACCAGTGGATTAATCCACTGATTTCTGGCTCATAGCTTCATGTGTGATAGAAAGTGGGGCCTAGATATTGCTCATCACTAGGATGAGCTAGAAGAGAGTATTTTTGTCCCTGGCTCCTCCTGTCTGTCCACTTCCTAACTCCCACAGGCTGAGCAGCTTTCCTCTGCCTTGCCTTGTACCATGCCGTTTCTGCCTTGAAGCCAGCTGACCATGTGGAGGTTGAATCCTTCCAAAACCAGGAGGCAAAATAAGCCTCCCCTTCTTTATGGGTGTCAAGTATTTTGGCCCAACCACAGAAAAGTCTCAAATACAGTTCTCAGTACAGCAGTGTTCAGGGGTGGGTGCTAGAGAAGGCACTGACTGGATCACAAAGGCCTTAAGTTCATTAGTGAGTTAATCACCTTACTGAGATCATAATCTTGATGACATTGTTGGGAGGGGATGGTTATTGGAGATGAAGCTTAATTTAGGGGAGCAGATCATAGAGTGTAACCTGGGTGACCATATCTGGTCCCTGGTCACTTTCTGTCTTACTCTTTCTCTTTCTCTACCTCCTGGCTGCTGTAAGGTGAGCAGCTTTCTCTTCCTGGCCCTTCTGCCATGTTTCTGCCTTGCCATGGACCCCAAAACAATAGAGATGTCTAACCATGGACTTTGAAACCATGAGCCAAAGTAAACCTTTTCTCCTGTAACTTGTTTTTCTCAGATATTTTGTCACAGCAATGAAAAGCTAAAACAAAAACAAACAAACAAACAAACAAACAAACAAAAAAACCCAAAAAGCTAAAACAGAGCCCAAATGGGGCATTGGCATCAAATGACTCAAAAGTACACAGACCAAAACTAATGGGAATTCTTCCAGAGGCAAAACTTTTGTCTGGGCTTCCTGCCCTCCCAAGGTGCCATGGGTCAGAATCAGGAAGATGGAAAACTTCAGTGAGAAAAAGGCACCATCTTTGTCTCCACAGCTCTCCAAGTGTAGTTTGGTAGTATCCTCTTAATAAACATCAGCAATAGATACAGCAGGGCCTGTCACCTCAGCTCCAGAGGAAACAAAGATCTTTTTGTCATATGCCATTTGTTGTAAACAAATGAAAGAATATTAACCTTACCTCTATTTTACAGTTTTAGTGGTTAGGAGAACTGCTCTTCTATTACTAATATACTGTTATTCAATATAGGAAGAAACATGCATATTACACACAAATCTGTTCTTTTTAATGTTTTGATAGCATTTCCTTTGTAATCTTACATATCTTAATGTGCACATTTTTCTAAAAGAAAAAAAAAGACTAGTGGAATTCACCAGACAGCTTCAGCACCCAGAAATGGTTAAGGACCCTTGAGCAGCAAAATGAAAAATCAAATGAAAAGGGCAACTATCTTCCAGAACAAACAACAACCTTACTGAGATCATAATCTCTGCAGGATGCGGGATTATAGTGTAGACGATTGTTTAAAAGGTGATGTGATGGAAGACTACTGTATGGAGAAATATTTAGGATACAGTACTTGAAAACAAAAGGTCATATCATGTATAAAAGCACTAAAGCTATGTCTATACACAGACACACACCGTAATTGCATCTTCTGTTTAATTGAAAGGGAGAGCTGTCCTCTTGTGGTAACAATGGTCATTTCATTGATGGTGCCCCTGGGTTTTCTTTTCTTTGTGCTTTTTCTGATTTTTCCACAGCCAGAAGGTATTGCTTTCATAATCAGGAGAACATATTATTTTAAAAAGCTTTATTTGAATTTCATTAACTAATCTTTTGGAGATTATGTATTTAAAGGAAAAAATGCCATACCTCAAAAGAAGGCAGTTGGCATTCTCTTAAAAGGCCTGGGGCAAAGTTTGGTGACTTTTTTCTAGTTTTTTTTTTTTTTTTTAAAGCATGAAGGAGTGACCTCAGACTCCCAGAAAGAAAACCAGGAGATGGACCTCAAACTGCCAGGGTCACGTGGTCTCATGGGGCCAAGTCCCTGAGGTGCCAGGCTGGCCCTCATCTTGCTTTCCCTACAAGATCATATCGTGCACCAATATTTTAGCAGATGACTCATTCATTCTGCACTTAAAAGAAAAATCTTCAACAGTAAGGTCAAAACCAAACCAACCAAACCAGACCAAGCCAACAATAACAATTCAGTAACGGAAATAACAAAGGCCATTTAGAAAATTCTTTAACATGATCTAATACGTTCATGATTGTGATCACCAAAATTAGTGTGCAAAGCCATAACATTTTTTTTAGCAGTTCCAAATTGTAATTCTTAATCATCTTTTCTGTTTCTCCCTGGCCTATAATTTCTAGAGCATTGTCTGTAGGTTGGGAGAGGTATAGAGAGGTGAGTTTACGATTCAGGAAATTATCATTAAAAACAAGCTGCGTCCAGAATGAGCTCATTCCTGCCACTAAAGTCAATTCCATTACCTGATAAGACAAAATTTCCTGGGCTAACTGTACCTTTTGTCAGGCTAGTGTGGCCTCTGTGAAAAAGCTCTCCTTTAGGAGTCATAATTTTTTCTTTCTGTGCAAGACAGCCACTGGAAGCCGGCATTAGGAGGGGACACAGACATTCTCCATCCCCACTCCACACCCCACAGTGGTGACCAGTTGTCCCTGAACAAGATACAATCATGGCTTTAATTTTACTCAAGCACAGCTGTGAAGTGTGAGCATAAGGCAGGCTTCCACAGTACCTGTCTCAACTGGGCTTTTTGTCCTGGCTGCATGACTCTGGATATTTTCTACTTAACCCCTGAGCATCAAATTCCTACTCTGCAAAATGAAGATAACAGAAGAACTTACCTAGTAGCATGGTTCTGAAGAGTAAAACTATAAGCAGGTATGGGCCAGGGAGGGTAACTCAGTGGGAGAGCATCTGCCTAGCATTTGGGAGACCCTGGTTTTGATCTCCAGCACAGAAAGAGAGAGAGAGAGAGAGAGAGAGAGAGAGAGAGAGAGAGAGAGATGCTAACTGAGGGGTCACACAGAAGGTAAGTGGCAGAGCTGAGGCCTGTCTTAAAAACATAACCTTCACAGTATGTAAGTTTCCTTGGTTATTTTCACAATAATATAAGTTAACTTATACATGTCATGATTTCATACAATGAGCTCCAAAAGATGAAACAGATGAGAAGATAAACAATAGGAGTACAGTGCAATAAACTTAAGGGACCCAACACCATGGGGCTAGGGGGGTTGTAAGCCAGGTGTTATGGGTCCTCTTGCCTACTGATGCCACAAAATTGCTGAGTGATCTTGCACAGGAAACTTAATTCCTTAAAACTTGTGTTTTGTTTTAAAATGATGTTAACACCTTCCTCTTGAAGGATTTTGAAGGATTAACTAAAAAATGTACCCAAAAAGCTTTGCATGGCATTTTTCAGGTGTAAAAATTTCAGGCCTCCTGTTTCGTGTTGACCACAGCACCTGGAAAGAAAGACAAAAATGGCAGAAGCTAAAAGACTCAGTGAAGGATAAGACAGGATTTCATCTCTCTCCTCTGTGCTCAAACCTTGCAGCTCAGCTGCCTGTCCCACTCCATTGAGTTATGAGTTGGAGTCTTGACCCCTTTTTTCTCAGAAGGCCTCTGAGTTCCTTGTGCAGATTACTTCTCCTACAAATCTCCCAGGCTTGCCCTGCTCCATAGGCTAGGTTGAACAACCATAAGTGTGAGCTGTCATTGGTGATGCTGACCCTATCCTGCAGGCAGATCCTCTAGCCATCTGCCGTCTCCTTGGTAGCCTCCTCTTTGCAGCTGATGGGGCAGGCAGGGTACTCCAGATTATACTATGCTCCCCAAACCAATTCTTTTCAGGAAAAAATGAGAAATATATGTTTAGATTCGAATAAGATTTGTCTAGATTCTCCAAAAACTGAGCAGCACCAAGCAACTCACTTCTCCTGACTTGCTACAGGCACCATCTGGAAGGGGTCCCAGTCTCACATTCTTTAGCTGTCATTTCTGATGGATGCTGACCTCAAAGTCATGCAAGGGAACTAATTTTCTCGGCTCCTCTAGTTTCAGTGGTTCCCTTTGCCTTCC